ACCCATTTACTACTTCTACAAGTGAGGATAAACTAATCAAGTTACGAGTTAAATAATATAAGTATAAAACTTCATAGAAGATCCAATCAGAGTTCATCTTCTCTTCTAAGCATACTAGTAGCAAGTATTCCCACAAAATGCATATCAAACAATCTTGAATCACCAACTTGCTTCTATGTTTTCAATTGTAAGAACATTATTCAATCAAACCATGCAAATTCACATAAGAACAGATAAACAGTAAACATTCTGCAGCGGTAAACTACAAGTAACCAAATCCATTCACAATACAAAAACAGGAGCAGCAAACACACCTGAATAACCTCATCCAGCAACAAAACATGAGTAAAAGGATCCCTCTTCTTAGACAACACCCTCTGCAATAGCCAAACGGCTCCGATAATCGAATGCAACTGATCCATACACCCACTCATCCGCTGCCAAAGAGCGTCTTTCGCTCTCGCCCCGCCCCCAATCTGCGGCGTACCACTCCTCTGAATCCCCCCGGGACCACCAAACCCACCACCAGCACCAGAAGCAGCAGAAATTGCCTTCATATCCAATGCATTAGCAATACTCTTAACCCCCAAATTCTTATACTTCGCAACCAATCCATCAACTGTTCCCCTCAATTCCCCAAGATTGTAAAACACCTGCAAACCACTTCCAACCTCAGCTTGATTCAACCCCTCTAATCCCCCCTCCAACATCTTCATCCCTTCGGCCCGAAGTTTCGACCCGGCTTCAGAAACCCACCTCAATTCCTCATCAACCACATCAATCCCACCCAAATCATTATCATTAGCCAACCCCAGAATCTCACAATGCAATTGAGCACCCTTCAAAAGGTCCAGCGATTCCGAAGAACCCTCCATTAGATCTCGAAGCTTCTTAATCAATCGCAACACCTTGATAGTAAACTGCAAATGCTGTGAAGCAGTATGAAGATTAGACAACTGGGTAGTCTTAGATTTGATCTGGGTATGTGGGTCAGAGATCTCAGATCGAACGCGACGAACAGACGATTGGAGAGAGAAAACGGAGGATCGAACAAGAGAAAGAGCGGAATCAGCGTCTCGAAGGGAAGAAAGCTGAGAGAAGAGATGATCATGGTGGGAAAGAACTTCGGAGCGAAGCTGTTTTTCGAGGAGACGAATACCGTCTTGGAGGCGCTCGGCGGTGGAAGCGGCGGAGCCGGAGGAGAGAGCTTGGGAGGAGAAGGAGGTGGAGGAGAAGTCAGGGGAGAGGAAGAGAGAGAAAATGGGGTCGGAAGAGAAGGAGGAGAGAGGGTTGGTTGAGGTTGTGGTGGTGGAATCGAGGGAAGAAGAAGATGGGTTGTTGTTGGTGGTGTCTTTGAAGGTGGAGAGGCGTTGAAGAGGGGAGGAAGAAGAAGGAGGAGAGAGAGAGGATCTGTGGAGTGAAGCAGAGGAAGCCGCCATTGTTGAAGAGAAGAAGAATTGGAGGTTGTAGAGTTAGTGTTGTTGCAGATTCATGGTGAAATTCATGGAATTGTGGAGAAGAAATGTAACATTCGGATCACTATTTTGCTTATTTGCCGGTTGATCTCGGTGATCGACAAAGGTCAAGGACTCAAGCTATGTACTGCAAAATAGGAGTTAGCCTCATTTTATCATCAATCTTGCTAATCAGCACCCTTGAGCGTTGGATAATAAATACAGTAATCAAACCTTTTAAATGCACCCGATTTACAATAATTTTATTGTACATCGAACATTTTACGAAAAGTGACCTTTTTTTTTTTTTTTTTTTTTTTTTTTTTTTACAAAAGTGACCCACATTTTCACAAAAGTGACCCTTTTTTTCACAAAAGTGACCCTTTTTTTTAACAAAAATGACCTTTCTTTTTTTATAAAAGTGACTTATATTTTCACAAAAGTTACCCTTTTTTTTCCACAAAAGTGACCTTTTTTCCCCACAAAAACAGAGTATCAAAATCAAAAAGTTATCCTTTTCTTCTACAATTAGCAAGTATTTTCCTCGATTTTCTCTCTCCTTTAATGGGGAAATCAATTATAGTCTGCCCTTACCACCTTCTTCCCAACAATACAATTCAATACAATTATCCTCCATCATATGAGTATTCACTTTCCTCAAAATTCAACCATTTTTCTTCTACAATTAGCAACTACAGTACTTCTCCCTCTACTTTCCTCCATTTTCTTTCTCCTTCAATCCTTCAATGGCGAGATCGATGAAGCATGAGAACAACAACAACAACCCCTTCGACCTCCTCAACGAAGAACTCCTCTTCATAATCCTCGATCATCTCTCCATTGACGACCACCTCGCTGTTAAATCATTTTCTCTCTCCTCAAAATCATTTTTCTCGGTGATGAATTTGCCCAGCCCAGCCCGATTTACATTAATTTAGTGTAAACTATGTGTTATTAAAAGTTTGTGTACAGTAATTATATTGGTTGAATTAGTAATAAGTTAGGAATGCATGACAAAATCCCGCGTCGTTCAGTGTAATTAATGTTAGTTTTACTCTAATATTTCCACTTTTATTTCTCTTATCTAACGTCTCGGGGCGCTCATTAGCTTTTGTCTTTTATCTTCTCAGATAGTTTAAGAAGGGGCGAAATTGTATTATCTCCATCCTTTATTTTACTACTACCTCTATTTTACATTTTTAGTAACTTTAAAGGGGGCACAGATTGTTACACAAAATTTGTTTATAAGTGTAAGATAGAGTGAGAAAAATTAGTTGCAAATTATGTGTAGCATCCATTTTTTGCAAAAGTTGCAAAAAATATAAAACAGAGGTAGTACAAAGAAATTTGAGGTAAAAAATTAAGGACAGAGTGAGTTATCATAGGCCTAAACTTTCAACAATGGAGTCTTATATTTACTTTTTTTTTTTTAATTTTTGAATAAAAAATATTTTATATAATTTACCTCGGTATGCATTTCCTCAAAACTACTATCAATTCCATAATTGAAATTCTTATTTACATTTAATTTTAATAAAATAACATACGGAGTATAATGTGGAAATAGCTTAGTGGCTAACATTATTACTTTTAAAATTGGAGGTCTTAGTTTTCATTTTGCCTATGGAGCAAACAAATAGGGATAGATGGAATACTTGTAATAAAAGACAGCCCGGTGTTTTTTTTTTTCATGATTGCTAAACGCAACCTCTAGTTACTACTATACACCCCTCCTAAATACCATAAACACCCTTCTAAGCTAAAATCATCTTCACGACATTTTTTTGCCTGCTTTCCTTTCCACCTTCCACACCTAACTTCCAGAAATTTATACCTTTTAGTTTATTCGAATTACTTACATAATCAATTAGCGAACAATATTCCGAGATCTAATAAATATGAACATGAATCGGATGAAGTTGGGTGACACACGAAATGGGATCAATTATTTTATACAATTTGAACGAAATATGAAATGCGTTTTTTTGTTTTTTTTTTTTTTGAAGGATGAAAAGTGGTTTTATTGATTCTACACATAATAGATTTGTATGATTCTTTATCAAATTCGAAGAGGCTAATGTAAAAATCATTACCCATTGCAAATTCAATGTATTTTAAGTTAAATTAATGCACTCTTGTTATTAGAGATTACTTGAGAGGAAAAGATATAAAATGGTTATTTTTTCCCTACATCTAATAAATGAGTGGAATAGAAGCTGCGCTGAGTAAAGTTAGGTTGCGTTTAGCACTCAAAAAAATAATTAGCTAGATAGTAATTAACCTAATTAGCCCCTGATTACTCCTAATTATCTACTAAATCTTATTTAATTATTTAGAAATAACAAATAAATTGATAAATTTAAAAAAAAAATTTTAAAAAAAAAAAAAAAAAAAACTTAAACCACTCCCCAACCCCATCACCACCTGCCACCCTCCCCCATCCACCTCCCCTGGTAGCAGCCACCCTCACCCTCACCCCTACCGGCGAACAGAATCCCTACCCCTCGCACCGGCAAAACCCTAACCCTTTCCCTTTCACCCACTGCGACGACCAGAGACCCAACCCCCTCCCTTTCACCCACCGCGACCACCCACCCCTTACTAAACCCAAACCCGAAAATTCCACCCCTCATTTCCACAACCATAAACAACCCCCTCCTTTTTCCACACCCATGAACGACCTCCTCGTGTCGTTTCAGGGTGTGGGAAATGGAGTGGTGGGCGTTTTGTGGTGGTGGTAAAGAGGGGGATGGGAGTTTTTGGGGTTAGGGTTTAGTGATGGGTGGGTGGTCGCGGTGGTGGTTCAAAGGAATAGGAGGGGTAGGGGGGACTTTGCCGGCGCGGGGGAAGGGGAGGGGTGGGGGCGGTTGCTACCAGGCCAGGGGGTGGTAGCTGGTGATGGGGTTAGAAGGTGGTGTATGTTTTTTTTTTTTTAATTTTCCAATTTATTTATGATTTTTGATTAATTAAATAAGATTTATTGTAATTTGGGGCTAATTAGAGGTTTTGGTTGTCTTCAACAAAAAATTTTTAAAATAGGTTTCTTTTGGCCAAAAAAAATTTTAAAGGTTTTTTCTAACAAAAGAGTGTTATAATAGGTTTTTTCTAACAAATTTTCCTAAAAGTAAATATAAGACTCCATTGTTGAAAGTTTAGTAATTATATAGATACTCCGTAGAAGAGAGAATTTGAGGTTGACTATAGGTAAAAAGAAGAGAGTAAAAGCCTTGAATCAAGATTATGGAAGTAGAAAAGAAATAAAACATGAGTTGTGTCAAGTAAGATGAGAGATTTATATTTTTACTCGACCCTTACGCCTTAGTCTAGCATTTAGATGCTCGTTTAAAATCCTAACTCCCAAGTCGTATCATCGATGTCTTCATAGAGATTAGAGTCTAAACACATATAACTATATAAGCCGAGTAAAATTTCACCCTAGAACTAATTCAAAAAACATAAGGTTAGCCCACAACATTTGTTAATCAATCATCCTTCCTCTCATTCGTCGATGATGCAAGACAAATTATAATGGGGTTCATCTTAACATATCATCAAATATTAATTATAAAATTAAAATCTTCAAAATACTTCATACATAGATGAATAAATACAGATGTTAAACTTTAAAAAGGAAAAGCAACAAAAAAAAAAAAATTAAGTAAATAAATGCAAAGCTAAAACGGGTAGAATCACCTAGGTTCCACCATGAATGAAAATTAACTTTATATCTGATGATTTTCTGTACATAGGTTTCTCTCCTCTTCTTAGCATTCCAATCATTCCCCAGCTTCCTGTCCTGTCCCGATTCATGGAAGGCAGGCATATAAGGAAAACTTTCACGCTCTCAACAGGTCTTACTAGGGAGGCACCAGCAATCGAACAGGATGGCTGGTAAACCAGTCACAAGTATTTGTTAAGCGTCAAGATGAGTGGCTGCACCATACATTCTGGAAGAAGTGGCCAATATTAGCTAAACCATGTTACAGTCAATGCCTATACTTGACTAGAACTGGGTGCAATGCTATCAGTGTCTTCCACTCTAATAATACTAATTTCATCACCGACTGAACTACCAGTATCCTTCACACTCTCAAATTCCATGCTCGTTGTACGGCTCTTTCTATTTCTACGATCCTGCAAAGAACACCCTTTAAAGTCAGATAATCCAAACAGATGCAACCAGAAGACCTGGTCAGATAGTAAAAATTGTGCATATTGGGAAAATTTGGTCACAGTTAAATACGACTTCTAAACAAGAGTAATGTGTTCAAGCTCCTGATCTGCTGGCTCTAAAACCATGAACATTCGCTAGTTTAGGACTTATATTTCAACATAATAAGATCTGTAATGAGCATCACTCTATTTTGGAAACAATCAAGTGCCTGCCTAGTAAAACTGGACTTTGTTAGCTCTGAAAATACAATAGTAAGCTAGTTGGTTTCCTTCCGGATCAACTTTCAGGCAAAGCTCCATAAAATCCACTGCGCTCAAGGTAGGAGCTTTTCTAAAGGCGGTCATGGTATCAAATGGTTCACATTGTTTATATGGAAGGGGCAAAAGTTACAAAATTTGCTTTCCATTGTCAAAAAGGTATAAATGTTTCGAAAATAATCTTGGAAAGAAGCTCACAGCATCAATTTCTGCACAAAATTTAATACATTCTATCTACAAGTTTGTCATCCTATGTATATGATCCTTGGTTACTGGTTTCTACACATTCACACTCCCTTTTCCTTTTTCATAAATAGGGTCTTCAGAATTTTGGACCAGATAAACAGAATTCATTTTGCTACTAAAAGACTACAAACTAAAGGATCATAAAGCAGGTTATTTTCCCATGCAATGTATAGCTCATTGGTTTCGCTATATGTAAAACAGCCTTCATGTTGCACTCCATCCCAAATGCTTTACTCATTGAAAATTTTAAGCAATGCCTATGAGATATTATTGTCAGGTTGGCTTTTTTATTGGTGTCAAAATAAATGTGCACGCTATAAAATCACACCCTAGCAGCTTCTAACTCGCAAATTGAAATTAACTATTAGCAGAAGCAATTTAATTCCTGTGCACGCCAATAACCAATATAAGGAGGTGCAAAAGTCAGAATGTTCTCTACTTGAAAGCTCCCAAACCATATTGCTGTTTCATAAACTATTACTTGACTCAACTTCTAGCCTTAAAAGTTATGAGAACCATTCTACCTCTTATAAGCACCAAATTACTAATACAGTCATATGCATGTTACAAAGATAAAGACACAACCACCTCTATTGGATCTTATTGCTTGTAGTACACTGAAATTCAGAGCATCTTGGACTCCAAAATGGGGCATTTTGTGTTATTGTCTCACAAAATAATCAGTAGATTCATTCCCCTCCCATATTCTATCTAGACTGAGTAGATGCAAAATTTTCAGGTACAAAAAGTTAAAAGGAAAGATTCAATGAAGCTTACGCACTGATGAAAAAACACCAAACGACAAATTGTTTGCAAGGGAAAGCAGTAGTTGGGCTCAATAAGTGCAATGAACCCACTTCCACCTCCTCCCGTGACTCTCACCTACCACAGAGGACAGAGAGAGCAGCAAGGGCTTTGCACCAACAACAACAACTTACCATGGCAGCAGCAGCAAAAGGAAACAGGGGACTGAGCAGGGGACAAAGCACCTTTATTTGTTTGTTTGTTATTGCACTAAAATAGTAAGAGGACAAGAGTAGTACATGTAGTAATTAAGGCCTTGTTGCCACTTATGCTTGTAGTAGTAGTATAAATAGAAGTAGCTTAGAGTAGAGAAGGCAGGCAGAAAGTATTATTTTAGAGAGTTCTTGGAGAGTGATGGCCTAAAGCCATTGACGTTGTACGAAAGCTTCAAGCTTTATCTATCCAAATTAACCTTCCGTCCATTTACTTCTCAACACCACGCTAGTTCGTTGCAATAAGCTGAGAAACAAGATGTAAACATTAGGGTCGTATAATTGTTAAGGCACAACAGCACAATAAAATAGGCTGGGTTGAAAACCATACAAGATGGAGTTGAAGAGGAGAAAATGAGCTTAGCGATTTTCAATGACTTGGTATTGGCTCTTCAATCTAAAGAAAAAACAATCGAGTGGCTGCAGTGAATCATCCCCACAAAGCAGCCCCATGACAAAAACTGATCCAAAGTCATCCAAGAAAACCCATGAAATAGTCTCAGTTGTGTCCTAGATCCTATGTACTTTGATTATGAAGCTTGGTAATTATAAGCTGTTTCTTAATTACAGATCAACAGAATCTTAAAATTATCAACCTGATTCTACAATGTTGACCTGTCAAGCCGGAAATCTCCAACCTTGCTCCCTCTCCATTCATGACATAGTTGATAGAATTAGTTATCTTAGGGTTTAAAAATTAATAGCCTATAGCGCTGTAGGATTTATAGTCAAACATAATAATTACCTCAAAATCAGCATATACTAGCAGTCTTAACACCACATGGCCATGAACAATTTTTGGAACAATCTTCCAAACGAAGTAGGAAAACTTATAAATGCTTTAAATTATGCCTCATCCTAGAGATGCAAAGTAAGGTAATACAGTATATAAAAATCAGCCCATTGGTGAGATAGGTCAAATATAGCATCAGTTACGAGTTGATCATTGTAAATTGAGAATGTCATGGGAGAAGGGGGAAAAAAAAGATTTTGGCAATGTCTAAAGTGATGAGGCAGGCAGTAATTCCGACAATCAATCAATCAAAGCCTTAGTCCCAATAAGTGGGGTCGGTTGCATGAATGAATCAAAAGTTATTATTCCGTATAGTCATCCATAAAAAAATTCCGACATATAATGTGAGAGAAAAAATTTACTTTTGCATGACAAGTTGACAACTAGTTAGATTTTTTTTGGTTTCTATAATTGCAGTCGAAAGAGACAGCTCAAGATGCAGTCAGTGACAGCTAGAGAAGCATACCTCACGATTTGGAACCTCATCAGCGTCCAGCATTCTTACAACCTGACTCATTTTCGGTCTTTTTTCAGGGTCAGGATCAATACACCTAAGTGCTACAAGAAGCGCACGTTTCAGAGTACGAGTTGTAGGTTTAACTTCAAGATTCGAATCTACAACTTCCTCAGCCCTTCTAGTCCCCACCATGACTTTCAGCCACTCTACAAGATTGACCTATCACAAGAAAACGATTATCTACATGAGCAATTGTGCACAATGTGATAGTGTATTTATTATCTTAAATTCTTAAGTATGTACACAGTACACCTAATAAGGTTATCAGCAGAGAGTAATGAATATTAACTAACAAGTGATTTTGCAACTACAATGAGCATTCATGAAAGCATAGATTCTGATACCTCATTGGCAGGCCGGCTATAATCTACAGGGTCCCTTGCAGTTATGGCTTCTAAAAGCAAAACACCAAAACTATAAATGTCACTCTTCTCATTCAGCAGACCACTATTTGCATATTCTGGTGCCACATACCTGTAGTTCATAACAGTGTCAGCGGCAAGATCAGAAATTTACACTAAATTGCTAAAATATGAAATGCTGAACTCAGAAAAATTAAACACGATAACAAAACTAACCCGAAAGTCCCCATTACTCTGGTGGTTATGTGACTTTCTCCAGAATCCAAGAGCTTTGCCAATCCAAAATCAGATACTTTGGCATTGAAATCAGTATCGATCAGAATATTGCTTGATTTTATGTCCCGATGAACAACTTTTGGTTCTATTGATTCGTGCAGATATGCAAGCCTGCAACCAACAGACACAATTTGAATCTTGTATAAATCTGGTTTACTGAACCAGTTTGTCAAATATGAATCTTGTTCATTAATACAATAATTCTTTCTTCCTAATATTTTTTTAATTTTCCATCCTACCTCCAGGATATAGCAAGATTAGCAACTAATAATTTATATCTTCATGATACATGTTTGAAAAGAATGGTAAGGTAAACTTACGCCTTAGCAGTCCCAAGAAGAACCTTTATGCGAGCCTCCCATGTAAGGGTACCATGATGACGCATAGCTCCATGAATCCATTGCTCCAAGTTGCCATTGTTCACATATTCATAAACAAGCATCCTGGAAAACCAATTCATATCTAATTTATACTTGGGCAGCTGGGCCAAAAGAAATTAACTTATAGCAGATAACTTGTAAAAAAAAAAAAAATCAGCATTGCACACAAAAAGGCAGTAAATAATCATAATCATAATCATGAAAGAATTCTATTTACATCAAGATTAATGGTGAGTCACCTATGAACTCCTTCAATGCAATAGCCCAAGAGGCGCACTAAGTTCTTGTGTCGAACATGACCTATAGCTTCAACTTCTACCCTAAATTCTTTCTCGGCTTGCCCCCTGTCAATAAACATTCAATGGCAATCAAAATAATAGCATAAGAATATGCAGGCCTTAAAAATCTTTTGATCAGAAATTTACTTACATATTATTCACTAGTCTCTTAACAGCTACTTCAGTTCCATTGACTAACAGCCCTTTGTAGACAACACCATAACCACCCTCACCTATAATATTAGTTGCTGAGAAATGATGAGTTGCCATTTCCAGATCCCTAAGAGTAAACCAGTGTCCCCAACCAAGATGTGATATCTCTGGCAAACCAACCAAAGGAGAAGCTGTTGGAAGGCCATAAGATGAAGCATGCTTTGGAATGGTGCCAAAACTTCCATCATCCCCAGAATGTGAGCTGTATGCCCTATCGTGGTGATGAACCGAACTGCACTGGCTCATAGTTTCAACATCACTGGACTTGCTCCTACCCAAATAAGAAAACATCTTTCCTGAATTTCTGTCACTTGATTTATCATGTACATTGATGGATAGATGATGATTATTATTATTAGTATGGTTATTATTATATTCCCGAGGACCCGGAACCCCAATTCTATCAACCCTTATATCCTTTGTAACATTTGGAATCTGAGAAACGGAAAACCTGTCTACCCTTCTTGACTTCTTCCGGAATGTGAACCATATACATAAGATACAAAGAATCACAATTATAAACAAACCAACACATAATCCTATCAAAACCCACAGCTTAAGACCCAGAATTGTCTTCTGTGAAAGTTTAGCACTCAATGAGCTACCCGATGACATTGTTAATCTTCCGCCAATACGAATTGCCTAATTAGCTCACCCTTATTTGAGTCTACAGGTTGCACAACCTAAACATCTTCACCTGTTACACCACAACAATGTTGCTTCAAATTTCACACTTCTATAATGTCTAATTGTTCATCAGCCAAAAAGAACAATATGATCCCCAACAAACTTCACTGAATAGGCAGCATATACTAGAAATCAGTACAGTTATTGTGAAATTAGAGCTAATAATATTGCAAGAAAACCTAATGAATAGCACATTCTTTGATTACAGAATTGTAAACAAGTGACATTTTAATTAGCAATTTCACCCATTACTTGTAGGGAAACTCCAAATTAAGATGAAATTGCAGCATAAAATGCCCTAAAATCATAGTAAAAATCATTGAAATTACTCAAATTTTCCAAATCTAACAGAGATCAAATTCAGAAAGTAGCATCACTTGTGCTTGAAGTCAAATGAAAAAAAGGTCAATGGGGATGGAAGGAAAAGACGGATAATACAACTACAGAAAATATATATATATATATATATATATATATATACACAGTAAATTTAATAATAATTGAACAGCAGTTTTATTTTTTAGATGTGTATAAAGAGTCGAGTATAGACGGGATTCGATCAGAGGTCTTAATTATCGACCCAAAAGACTTTAACCAACTACGCTAATTGTGACATTGATAAGACAGTAATTGAAAGAGTGAAGGAAAGCATTATACCTTTTTAGCAGGGAGATGAAATCTTAACCTAACCACCTTGATCTTCTTCCTTAAGAACCCAGAGAAGCAAAAAAAGGGGTTGCTTTCCACCCAAAACAAACTCAATAAGCATAGATAGGCCAATGTAGACCTAAAGCAAGCTAGCAGTACCCAACAACAATAAAGAAGAAAGGTCACACCTTTGAAAATGTAGAGTAATTTTGAAGGATTCAATTAAAACCCCACTAAAATTATTTTTTAAATAATCAAAAAAATTGATTAACCAAAATGTGAAAAGGAAGACAAAAGGGTTTTTTTTTTGGGAAAATTCCCAAGTTTTAATTTTTATTCAATGGCCGGCAAATCCAAAGAATATTAAAGGGTTGGGGAAAAAAATGGTAAAAAAAAATAAAATTACAAAATGTAGGGATCTAAGAAAGATTGAAGCTTTGTTTACAATGGAGGAAAGAAAACCCAGAATCAGTGAAGAAGAAGCAGAATAGAGGGTGAAATTGTGAAATGAAGAGAGATTTTTATTATTTAATTGTAATAATTTTGTGAATAATGATAATAGTGGTAAAAAGAAGTATAATTAGTACAAGTAGAAGTAGAAAAAAGAAGAAGAAAAGGAGGAAAAAGGGTCAGAATCAAGATAGTGAGAGAGAGGTGGGAAAGAGAAGGAGAAGGAGAAGAAGAAGAAAGAAAGAGAGTCAAAAGCAGAGGATGCCTAGCTGGAAGACAAATAACAATACATTCCACCTGTTTATGTTACGTACTTATTTGGATAGATGTGTTCTTATATTCTTATGTTATGGTATGTTTCTAAGTGGAGGAGCTTTTTTTTTTTTTGTTTCGTTTTCACAATTATAAGTCTCGTTACCGTTGAGTATTCCTAACCTATATTATACTTGTATCATGGGGTCGAGCGTATGAATAGGTCGTCGTCTAGTCGAGACATCTCTAAAATGGGTTGATCGATTTGATTTCATGATTATGTTATTCTAGAAAAGGAAACGTGTCATAGTCACACCTACAACATCATTATGCAAAATATGACCGAGAGGTGGGGGTGGGAAGGACTTGAATCAACTGGATCTTATTATTCTAATTTATACCTGGATTAACAAGCGAACTCTTTGTATAGTGAAAATAGAACACCTTTCAACCTTGTGATTAAAGCCTATAAGGTTTTATTCTTCTCATTAAGGGTAATTTGGGGATGGGAAATCCCTATCTTTCTCCCACTCTCTCAAATTATTTAGCCCGCTAATCTGTATCAAGTTAACTTTTAAAGAGTTTCGACATGTTAAAACTCTTCTACTTACCTACCAATAACACATTTTTTTTTTTATTATTATTAGTAGGTACATTGAACTCAAAATTAAATTTCCTATATTCTATTGTTAATTTCCAAATGTAGCAATGTAGGGCTTGTTCTCATACGTTTATTTTCAGTTCAGTTCAGTTCAGCTCCTAATTTTCTTCTCTTATAAAATATTTATTCCAGTTCAGTTCAGCTGATTTCAGTCTATTAGAACAGGCCCGTATTATGTAGCATATACTCTAGTCATAGGACAAATAAAATTTTTTGAGGAAATATGATCAAATATCTACTGTAATGAAACTTATAAATTCACAAAACAAAATCAAGAACAAATGAGTATTAAACATTTCTTCTTCTTTTTTCTGACGAGAATATTAAACATTTCGTAATACATCAAATTACTTATTAATTGTTGAAAGGAAAAGAGCAATTTAATTTGTAATGTGTAAATGAGATACTACGTATAAAAAATATAGTGTTTGTTATCAATACCAAATAAAAGTGTGGTCCGTACTAGAAATCGCACATAGTCCAGTTATAATCATTTGTTCCCAAAACATTTTTGGTTGAACAAATTAAAATTAGTGAGAAATTCAAAGCCATTGCAGTTGTTTATTGGTGAATGGTCATGATTTAATGTCCAGCTTTTAGATTTGCAGTATTTAAAAAATTTAAAGGTTTGTTTTAGTAGGTTTAAATACAAAAATTTGTTAATTTGTCTCGTTTAAATATTATGTTAATTTGTTAATTATGAAAATTGTAGTATTATTATACAAATATACAATTTCTTTAATCACAAGGGATTACTTAAAAAAAATAAGTTTGGGTGACTCTGGCAATGGAGGTTACTTTATACTTGTATAATAAACTTCCCACCACACTGCAAAATGTGATAATAATTCTTTCTGAAAAGCATTTCATTTCACCAAGCTAGATCTATACATTTTATAATACGAGTTTTAATTTAAATTAATTTAATTTAATTTAATATTCCTGGCATTTATTATCATATAATTAAAGTATAATTCCTGACATTTAGTCATCCCAGTCAAAAAGCTATTTAAGTCATTCTAATATAGCCGTTGTATTCAATTAATTTCATGGTTTTGGTCAAACATTTAACATTAGCATTTGTTATTCGTATAACTTTTAAGCTATTGAATTCTCATTATCACCAATTATGTACGTAGTTTTTGTTAGTCTAAACAGATATATTTTTATTTTTTATTTAGGAAATATGCTTGATTAGTTGAAAAGGATGAATCAAGTGAATGATAAAAGAAAAAGATACGAAGTATATGCTATTTTATTTTTTGAAGGGAACGGTACGAAGTATATGCTATAAAAAGCTAAAAATGTAAGGAAAAGACAATAAATAAATATATATTATGCCGATTTACTCGTGAATTGTCGATAAATTTCCAACTTAGGCCCTATTCTTTTCACCTTATAAAAATAATATTAAGTAAAAATAATTTCAGTTCAGTAAAAATAAGTTCAGTTCAGTAAAAATCAGTAACTTCTAAGAAGAAATATAACATGAAATCAGTAAAATTAATTTCAGTTCAGTAAAATTAATTTCAGTTCAGTAAAAATAATTTAAGTTCAGCAAAAATAATTTCAGTTCAGTAAAAATAATTTCATTTCAGCAAAAATAAGGTGAAGATAACGGGGTCTTAATACTAAAAAAGGAAGTATATTAAATGTTTATATGCAGCCCTTATGATAAATATAGCCTAAGGATTATGCATAAGATGTCAAAAAAATATTTATAATTTTCATTACGGAAAGATTAATATTAATTACACCGATTTGTGCATAATTTTGTCACGGATTTTCAACTTATATTATTGTTGAAGTAGACTTCCCAAATATCACAAATAAGTGTCCCACATTTAAAAAATTAAAAAAAAGGGGGTTGCTTGGCTTGCTCCTCATAAGACTCCTATTGACATATGAGTTTGTACTTGTGAAGTGGACTCTCTCTCTCTCTTAATTGTAAATGTGACTCGTGCCTGCATTTAACAACTAAACATATCATTAACTACTATTTAGACTTCCTGTACGATGTTATAAAGGATAGATGATATATATAGGGTATAGCTTGCCAAAATAAATTTTAGTTATAAGCATATATATATTGTGCATATCATATTTGGAAATCTAAATATTGTTTTGGGGTTTTTCAGATGTCTCTCGAGAGGCTACTGACTAAGATGCAACACTTGTATGGATGACCACCTACAAAACAATAAAATAATAAATACTCTATCATCGAAATATTCGCATTCGAAGATAAAGTTAGTGATCGAAAGCGGAAGATTTAGAGGGAGAAGTTAGATGTTATGCCTATGTTTTTTGCGTAGTACAAGTATACGAATGAAGATGACCTTATAAGAGGTAATTAACTACGGCCCGATTTGTTAGCTCGGATCCGGCCCAAAAAAACACAGGTTTGGGCAAGCAAAAAAAAAAATTTATTTTACGTAGTAGATAAAATCCGAACCCAATTAAAAAAAAGCCTAAAAACCCACTTTGGCCCAACAAAGCCCCCCACTTTCTATGGGTTTGGCAAGAGATTTTGGGCGGGTTTTGGGCAACATTTTTCTGCCGAAATTGGGTTGAGCCCAGCCCAATGCTCGAGAATGGACAGATTTTTTATGCCTTGGCACATCCCAAACCCAGCCAGCCTGCCCATTTACCAGGTCTATAATATGTACAAGTTTAATTTTGCCTTTATTAATATTAATTGCTTTTTTTTATAAACTATTTAGAATAGTGCACAAACATTTGTACCCCTAAAATATTTGTTTACATAATTTCCCTACTAATGTAATCAACTATTGAAAAAGCTACAGCTAGCTATGTAATCTACAACTGAAATATTTGTTTACATTATTCTTTCAAAGAAAAGAAAAATATGTACAATCAATTACTGAAAAAGCTTCCTGAACATGGCTAGCTATGGCACGTGCATCATGCGCGTTAGCCACCCTAATATTATTATAATTTACGAATGAATGTACCGTCAATATGTATTGACCTTGGTGGTTGAACATTGGCTTCCATACCATTGTTTATTTTTAACATTATCTTTAGCACATCTCTACTTCATGGTGTTACTCTATATTGGGTGTTTCTGCATTAACTAACACCTTTGTGATTTTTTAGTCCGCTAAACCACATATTATCCAAATGCTCAAAGTAAAACATTGAATAATATAACGTGTTTATGTTAGGGGTGTACCACCTACTAGCTGATTAAACACCTGTTCAAGGATTTTAATCTTACTTAGGTAACTTACATTAGGGTGTTACCCAAACTAAGCATGGATGCTAAACAGGGCTGTCTTTGGACATGTTTTTTCTCACACACAGAACAGGGCCCCCAAAATTCAGGGCCCATAATTTAAAAAAATGATGACTCGTTAAAAAAAAATCATAACTTACCTATTCACCTTCTTTCTCGTAAAGGACCAACATTTTCAAAATAAAACCCAAAATTTCATCCTAAATCTTTGATTTTGCCTTTTAATTTCCAAACCAAAATTAAAATGATGAAGATATAACTAAGGATTTTGCTTCAAAGAATGTTAGAATTGAAGGATGACATTTTTTAAATAAAAAGTTTTTATTTGTTTTTTTTTATTGAATTATTATTTAACTTAGTAATATGAATATTTTCCTCTTTAATTTGTATTATTAATACTAAATAAAGTCATTTTAAAATAATTATATTTTTAACGTTTTAAAAATAGTTCAATAAAAGTTTAAGGGCCCAATATTTTAGTTAGAACAGGACCACCGAATTGCCGGAGACGACCCTGATGCTAAATCTCTAATGCCTGTCCATTCACCCATTCCCATTGATTATCTAAGGGTGCAGTGAATCATGATGTCTTTTCCTAACATGTCTATTCTCAAAGGTAGAACAATATATTCTTTCATGGAGTCATGGACCCATGCTTGTTGAGTCTGTGCTTCTTATGATGAATAATGCCTTGTTGTGTTAGTGCATTTTCACGACTTTGGTCATCTCTGAATTTAAATAATTTTGCATATAATCTGGGTTTTGTCCTTAAGATTCAACGTTTTCGAAATGCATGTTAATCTGATGGCGTGTTGTTGAAGTTGGGTTTTTTAAGTTCAGTGATTCGATGGTATGTCATTAAGATTAAAAATGTTTTTGAACCTATAATTGTTGCAAATCCCAAACCTGTTGATATATTTTTAGAGGTGGTGTTTTAAAGCTTTTTATAACCTTTATTTTATGATTATCAAATGGAGTAGTATTGTTCCATTGGTTTCTGTAGTGTAAATGGTGGGCGGCAACCAACAACCACGATGAGTTGCAGGGTGAGATATTCTTAGTCGATTCATTTATGTATATTCATGTACCTTTTTTTTTTTCCCACTTATCCATGTTTATTTTATTAAAAAAAAATAAAATTAAACTTCCTTGAAAGATGATAAAATATGATATGTATACTTTGTAAGTAAAAAAAGGAATATTTATTCACTTTAATTATTCCTATACATATATATAAAACAAGCATAACAATAAAAAGGGAACATAGGAAACATGATGATATTGCATGAATATCTATCCTAATTTATATAATTACACTATGTTATTTATAGCTAATAATGTCTGACACACTTCCTTAGTTGGAGAGTTCACAAACAAGGTGAAGATATCATTGTATTGAAAGATGATGGCATGTGGAAAAAACGAGTATGTCCTAGAACAACTTTTTCACAAACACATTGTATGTCCATTTTCACATGCTTAGCGTGTTGATGATGCACTGGATTATGAGACATATAAATTGCACTATTTACATAATTATGTCTAGCAGATGTAGACAAAATTTGATTGCAAGTTTAAGTGAATAAAGCCACATGTGGACAAACTTTGATTATAGATTATAGTGAATATAAAAATTGTAAATGAAATCAAAGACATGAAGATACACATTAGTGCGATGTTAAGTTGTTAACAACCAAACCATTCAAACGCGTTTCCTAACAATTGTTTTTTTTTTTTTACAATATCCTAACAATTGTTTTAGTGATCAAAGAATAATTGAATTGCTCATGAGCATATTTTATTTTGCTCATTGATGTAGTGACATTTTTACCATTTTTGCTCATCAATTTTGGATGAAAGCTGGGGCCCACGTATTTACTATTCACCTTCAATTTTGCTCATCCTATGAGGGAAAATTCTAACTTGCTCATGAGCATATTTTATTTTGCTCATTGACGTAGTAACCTTTCTACCATTTTTGCTCATCAATTTTGCTCATGAGCAAAAAAAAAAAATGCTCACTGATGTGAGTGCTCTTAAAAATAAGCTAATCAAAGCTATATTTTTTTGAGTAGATTTCAGCAGAGCAACTTTTAACAGCTAAATAGAGTAGATCATAGCAGCTCATAAAAAACGCTTAAGTGTAGGGGTGCGGCAAACATTGAGGGACGGAATAGGACTACAATATGGTCTACATCGCAAATCGCAATAGCTTACCAAGCTAAGAATACTAAAATAGGAGTAGAATAGTGGGATAGTCGTTAGTTGTAAACATCAAGACCCATATTTTCTTCTTTCCCGGCCCAACTTTATCAAGTTCCAAACCATTATAAATAACAAATAATTCAAAAAGAAACCCAGAAAACATCCCCCTTTTTTCCATTAAAGTTGATGGGAGCTCTTAACAATGACAAAAACCAGCAATTCTTTACTTGCTCAAAGAGAAAAGCGATAAAGAAAAAGCACTACTTTGGATTCATTGCCCCACTTCCTACACAAAGTATCTTCATCATCCTCTAAATCATTCATACAATGTTGTTTACCTCTTTATTCGCAATCTTGAACCGAAAGACCAAGAGACTGAAATTGTGGATACTACATACGGTAGCGGTGCCGGTGGTGCTGCGATATGGCGAGTTCCAGTGGGAGCAGAGCCGATTTAGGTTCACGGCCGCCGTCGAGGCGGATGACTCGAGCTCTTACTATGATTGATCCGACTAAAGATGAGATTCCGATTGATAGTGAACTTGTTCCTTCTTCTCTTGCTGTTATTGCTCCTATTCTTAGGGTTGCTAATGAAGTCGAAGTCGAAAACCCTAGGGTTGCTTATTTATGTAATCTCATCTCTTTTTCTCTCTTATTTTTTTGATCAATTTTGGAATTTATTGATTTTTTTTTTATTCATATTTAATTTAATTTAAACTTTGTGTTTCAATTGAATTTAAGGGTATAAGGTTATTTGTTTTTGGTTATTGATTGAGATTTGTGAATTTTATTTTATACATTAAGCTTTACATTTTCCTCCTATTTGATTTTATTTTATAGTAGAATGTTGACACTATGTGATAATGATTTTCGCGAAAATGCTACTTTTGGTAAGTTTTAAGTATATATGAGTAATTAGTATATCACATTATAGGATTGATTATGAATTATGATAGCTCAATACAATATCTGACAAATTTATGACCAAATTTAGTGAGTTTGAGCACCAAAATCAGGTGATATTTTGTTTAATGCCATTGGTATTATTTCGTCTTTTGGAGTTGTGGTATGTGGAGTAATACTGAATCATAAGGAACAGATAGTTTACTATATTGAACATAAAATGGGAATCTGTTCCTACAGTTGAAGCTAATCAGGCATAACCCGTTTGTCCAGTTGCTTATTTTACAGAATATTGCTGCATCAACAGTTTCACTTCTGCTTGTCTTGGTCTTTTTTTATGCAACAATGGTTGCTTTTATCATCAGATTTAGATTCAGAAGTTCTATTGTTGTTCTATTAATTGGAAAAGTGTATCGATATCAATAATTCTTCTCATTGTGGTGTTCCTTTTTCTCAATTGATGCTACTGATCAACTAGGTCGTTTTCATGCATTTGAGAAGGCTCATAAGATGGACCCAACATCAAGCGGGCGAGGTGTTCGTCAATTCAAAACGTATCTACTGCATAGACTTGAAAAGGTAGGATTCTCTCTTTACTATCTGTACTTTAAAACGTATCTATGTATTCTTAATTTTTTAATATTGATGTGGAAAGTGAGCATGAAAAGAAATAACAAAGAAAAGGAGAGTTGACTTGCTTGTCGTTGCTGTTTCATACATGGCACTGGTGCTGTATTCATTAAGCTAAAGCCTGTCGGTCATTTAAGTGGTTTAATGGGGTTATGGGAAGATATACTGTCACTGATTCTTATGTGATTCTCCTAATGATATATAGACAAATTATCACCCTTAATATGTTCAGTAGTGTGGAACGTTTTTGTTAAGAGTTTACTGTGTCCTCTTTTCACAGGAAGAGGTGGAAACTCACCCAAGGACTAAAAGTGATCCAAGAGAAATTCAGGAGTTCTACCAGGACTTTTGTGAGAAGAACATTAGGCAGGGTGCACATACAAAGACACTGTAAGACAACCCTCTTTCCCTCCTCTCTGGCCCTCTCATATCAATGATTGTTATAGTGGGTAACAATCCTCCTAAAACTTTATACAGTGTTTAAGTATTCAAACTAATGTGGGACAGAGGAAGTACTTATAATTGTTAGTTGACCCTATCTAAGGTGAAATAGAGAAGCGTACAAAATGTTATAGGGTGTTATTATGCCCCACTAGTACCCAAAATAAATTTTGTTGCTCATTAGGTTCTGAACTATAACTTTTTTTGTTGCTTTATGAAGGGAAGAAATGGCCAAGGTTTATCAGATAGCGACTGTTCTGTACGATGTTTTAAGGACAGTGGTACCCTATGCAAAAGTTGATGAAAAGGTTTGATTCATGCATTTTGTTTAATGTTTTATTTTAGTATTGATATAACCTTTCATATCAATAGTATCAGGTTAAATCTTGACATTCAAGTTTATTGCAGACAGAAAGTTATGCCAAGGAAGTGGAAAGGAACAGAGAGCAATATGAGCATTATAATATTCTTCCTCTCTTTGATATTGGAGTTAAGCCAGCAATTATGGAACTTCCCGAGGTTACTTACATTCTCCATCTATGCTTTTGCATTGTCCGTAACTGTGTAAATTTAATGACGACATGTTTGTCTGAAACATCCAGATAAAAGCTGCAATTCTGGCTATACGCAATACAGACAATCTTCCCATGCCTCGATTAGCATCTAGTACACAAGGGGATAACATTATTATGCCGGAGTACAAGGACAAGTCTATCAATGATATACTCGACTGGCTAGCATCCATCTTTGGGTTTCAGGTAAACATTGTCGATGAGGGTCTTTTCCATCTCTGCTATGGGCTCGAGGGAGGGTAGGCATATTAATTTAGTTGGTATACAGCTTTAGGCCTTTTTGAGTAGTTTAACCTATTCAATTTTAGCTCTAAAATGTTTTTTCCTCCAACCTTGCGAAGCAAGGCTTTTTCTGACGAGTCTTTGCAAGAGATTAGCTTGTATCTGATCAATTACATTCCTCGAAATCAGTAATCAACATAATATTTTTTTGATATACCCTCAGTCAATTTAGTTTCGTTTACTCAGTGGAAGTCTCAATTTATACTAAGATATCAAATTGGTATCCTGTTTTTTCCCTGAAATTCATCTTTTACTTTTTTATTGTTCCAAATGAAATCATTACTTGGCTGCTTAATTTTTGTGAATCATAAGGTAATTTTGAAACAAGAAACTATGTTTTCTGTATTAGTATCTTTTCCACTTTACCGTAGGTGACAGGATCAGCTTTTTTTTTTTTTTTTTTTCCCCCTCCTTTTCTGATAAAATCTAATAGTCTGAAAGGCAGGATTGATTGATTGAATTTCCAATATTTGTTTCCATTTTTTTGTTTGACAAGAAAAAAGTATAAAAGCTCAGAAAAAGGTATTCAAGCAAAAGAGGGAACACTGTCCTTTAAAATCAAAGCAGGGATTATACCAATTTCTTTGAATCTCACAGTCCTGTGATCCTTGAAATCCCCCATTGTCATAGCCCATAACAGCCCCAGTTTAGTGACTGCCCCATAACGATCTAGTCTAATATCCTGTCATTTGTATTATCCCATTGGTCCTGTTATGAAGAATTATATAGTATCACCATGGAAATGTAACTCTTTGTGTCATACCTTCCAATTCGAAAGAATTAGATTTGGTGACAAATGCGATAAATCAGGGATTGGTCTTGATGATATAAATGAACTAATTGCATCAGTCATACCGTGTGGCTAATCATCTGTCTATTTTAGAAAGGATAGTATTGAGTATATCCTTCATCCTCCTAGTGAAACACAATTTGGAATGTAAGAATTGGTTTGTGTATGTAGTTTTGTACACTGGTTCAGTTAAGAACTAGTTTGGCTACTTTACATTATACCATGTTTGTACTAGAAGATACTGTTGTTGAGGTAACACAGATGGCTTGCTTCTTTGGCCTAATAAGGAACTTCTATATATAGCAGTATCTTGGTTTCCAAAAAAAAAAAAAAAAAAAGAAAAAAAAAATCTTTTGGCTCTGGTAATTTCTGCTCAGTCAATTTTGCTAGGAAGGGTGTCTTTTTGCCTTAAATAGCCGAGATGATACTCCCTCCATTTTTTTTAGAAGTGACCCTTTAGAACTTTTTGCACTATCCACTTTGACCAATGTTTGTGATTTATACATAAGAAAAGAATACACTTGTGGGTACTTGTTGGAATCGTCTCAATGAATAGATTATTAATGTTCACTTGTTATTATTTTTACTAATTGATAATTAAAGATAATATTGATCAAAGTTCTTCATCGTCATATGTGCCACGTCACATGTGGTATTTAAAAAAACGGAGGGAGTAATGGAAAATCAGATTTAATCATGTGCCAGTGGTGTACCATTCATATAGAAAATTCTTTTAAATTTAGATAGCAAGGTGGTTTGATGACTTTGATCATCAGAATATGTGTTTTGTGGTTCTGTCTAAATGCAACCATGCATACATCATTTTTTTTTCTTTTTTCTGTTTATGTGTGTTGAATAACCTATATATTTCATTCAAATGCTTTTATTTATTGAGATTACACAATCTGATAGTTGTCAATATCTGATGTTTCATTTTTTCTTTCTTTCTTTCCTCTTTTTTTTTTTTTTTTCCTTTCTCTGTGGTAAAAGAAAGGAAATGTTGCAAATCAGAGGGAGCACCTAATATTGATACTTGCAAACATGGATGTAAGGGTCAGGAGGCCCGGGGACTATGAAGTGGTAGGTTAACATTTATTATTTTAACTATTTTTAAGGTTTGGATGCATATGATTAATTAGTACTTAATGATTGAGGGATGCAGCTTGATCCTCAAACTGTCCACCAGCTAAAGGATAAGATTTTTAAAAATTATGAAAGATGGTGTGATTATCTTCATTGCAAATCAAATCTCAAGTAAGTTCTCTTGTCCTGTAGAATGGAAGAAATATTGTTTATCTAATGTACAGCCAGAATGTACTACCCATTCTCAAGAATAAGGCATATAGGTCACTTGTTGACTTGGTTTTACGTGGAATTTTCAAGGTTTCCTCCTGATGCTGATCATCAGCAATCGGAACTTTTGTATATTGCACTTTATCTCCTTATCTGGGGTGAAGCTTCAAATGTTCGCTTCATGCCCGAGTGCCTATGCTACATCTTCCATAATGTGAGTAACTGGTGATCACACCTGAAAGTGTTTGGTTTAAATTTCTTTCTTCGGTTGAAATTCTCTATATAATAACAAAACTCCAATAGTGAATTTCCCAGAACCCACCCCCTCCCCCTAAAGCTTATTCATCCTCTATTTTTCATGAGTTCATGTTATTTTCATAAAATTCAAGTGTTCAACTGGTATGGAAGGGAGTATCTCTTGGTGCTTAACAAGTGATTTTCTATTTGTTTGCATGAAAGTACTAAGCAATAATAATGTTTTCAGGTCAATTGAACACTATGGTTTATCTCTAGTTCAGCAAAGATAAAATTATAATAACCTGAGAACACAATCTATATAAATCTTTCTTAAAAAGCTTCCTTAACAGATATTATAAACAGCCATAAACCATGGTCCCCAAAAATATCCCTATTCTCATTTTGTCTCTATGATTGTTTTTCTATATAAGGAAGGTCATGAAAAAGTATGGGAGGTCTTCTCAATTACACACACCACACATTTTCCATGAACATTAACGGAAATTATAACTCCAATATATGACGAAGGGGCATAGAGTGAAAATTCTCAATAATAAAATAGAAGGGTAATATGCATTCCAAAAAATTGTTGTCCACCAAATAGAATTGTCAAAAGTACTAGGGACCAACAAATAGAATTGAGTATGGGAATAACACCTAATAGAACTGTTAAAATATTTGCTGTTGAGGCTGTTTATTGCATATATACCCTGACATGACTTTTTAATCTATAAAGAAAATTCTCTTTAGAACCGTGTTCTGTCACTGGAAGCCCATATATATGATCAACAAAAATGCTATACTGTTGATGCTTGGTCTGGAGGAAAATGTTCCATGCTTGTGTGTTGTGAGATTATATGCTATGTAAACCTTGAAAAGAAATTGAGTGATTTGTGATAATCACATTTTCCATTGAAAATCTTATCAATCTGTGACGCAATTCACGATCAACATTTTTTGGTTACCTCACCTTCTCTAAATTATGTATGTTATGTATTTCTAATGCATGTAGATGGCTAGTGAAATTCATGGAGTTTTGTATAGCAACGTATATCCAATCACGGGAGAGCCTTATCAAACTATGGAGCATAGAGAAAATTTTTTTCTAAAGGAAACTATAACTCCAATATATGACGTTGTTCGTAAGGTATGTTTTTCTCACATGAATGTAATCTGTACTGTCCATATGCAAAATTCGCCCAAACGAATGACAGCCAATTGTTCAAAAAGGAAGCAAGAAGAAACAAAGGAGGCACAGCAAGCCACTCAGCTTGGAGAAATTATGATGATCTGAATGAATATTTTTGGTAAGATTAAAGGGCATATAGCGGTTTTTGTGCTGTATTTGATATTTCTTATAAACGGAGTTCTTTTATAGGTCTAAAAAATGTTTCAAGTTAGGGTGGCCAATGGATCGCACTGCTGACTTTTTTCCGAAAGAGAAAGAGACACATCCTCCAAGGACGGAAACACAGCCTTACAGAATGGAGAAACAGCTGGTAAAATAATGCTTACTAATATTGTTTCAACTCTGTGATTGTGATAATGAATTGCAATGTTATCATCCTGGAACTGTGTTCTTCCAAGTATTTGTCAATGTCCGAGATGGTTGTTATTACATTTATTGTAAGCAAGAGAACATGGTGTGCAACAAGAGTGACAAGCAGATTGTAACATAAGGATTGTTGATAAACAAATTTCCGAATCTCTTTTCTGTCATGTCTTATTTTCTGAATAGTGTTGCTAAAATGATATTAAGTGATAAAAATGAAGTCAGATAAAGCATGGCACTGAAGTCATAGTAAACAACTACTATTCCAAGATTCTAACTTGTAGATTTTGAAGCAACAATTATGTACACCGGTCTTGATGGAATTTTTCTGTTTTTTGTTGTCATGTTGATTTTTTAGTTCACTTCAGAGCATCTGCTATCCTGTTTCAATTGGAAATTTTCTTGTTTCGTTTTAGTTCCCTAGAGTGTGGCTGTGAAAATGAGAACATGATTGTGGAGTACTGGAATTAGCTTATATAAGTATTGGAAGCAATCGTTGGACAACTTCTCTAAGAGGAATCTTATTTTAGGCATTGACGCATTGTCCTTTTTAACAACATTTGATTGGAACATTAGGTTGATATATGAAGATTAAAATTGTTTTGTGGTGACCAAAAGCTTTATGTTGAACACACTGGTTTTTTATTGGTTAAAATTGTTTTATGCTCAAATGAAATTATTGTTCAGATTATTTTTTTGATCTAAGCTGAATTTTTGTTGGAACAACTTTTTGCTTATTTTATTAGTCTTACATAATGATAAATCGATGATAATAGAATTGTTATTGTTACAATTTTATTGTCGTTTTGCTTACAAATTTGAATCATCTTTAATTTTATTGCCAGTATAATCAGCATCATCTTATGGAATATCTGACATTTCTTCTTCTAAATGTTTGCATCTCAACTGTTGATACTACTTACAAATGTCTGTAAGTAAATTGATTTTTAGTGGCTGTTATGTTAACATTATCTATGATTCCGTAAATCCATCCTTTACTGGTCTTCCTACTTCCCTTATTAATTCGTCTTTTTTTTAAGGGTATTGCTATATGCAACCCTTTATATAAGCATTAAATACATTTCTAAAAACATGTGTATATCAATGTACATAAAAAAGTAAATATTTTGCAAAAATAAACATTGTTCACACTGATCTACACATGTTTTTGTCATGAATTTCTAAATTTTCAATATATAGGAAGTGTATTTTAAAAAAAATAATATATAGGAAGTATTTAATGCTTATATAGCACTACCCTTTTTTTAACCAATTTTTTCCAAACTTAAAACCCAATTTTGCATTGCAATATCCGTTTTCCCACTCAAAATCGACCACTTTTCCACTTGCATCCCCCACTCTATGGATGTCTATATTTTCTTTAAATAGTTTTTTTTTAATAAGTCCAAGAGAATAGGCCTTACTTGCCCAAGGAAGAAGGGATTCTTGGAGTTTTTTTTTGTTTGGTGTCTAAAAAGATTTCAGATTTCTCCACTGAAAGCTTCCAGTTTGGATGAAGGCATTTGTAATTTTGTATTGACTTTTATTTTGAGGAAGCTCAATACTTGTGAGGACATATAGGATACACATCATGGTTATGGGTTCATGACACAATAATTGGTTTCATGTAATATAACTTTTCCTGATCTAACTTGTAATTGAGATTTTTCTATGCCTATGTTTGGTATTATATATATATATATATATATATATATATAGGGAGGGGGGGGTGTTATATATTAATGTTACTTATAGGCAGAAATTCCAAATTTTCATGTCGAGACACAAACTATCATGTACAGAGTCTTCTGCTCATGCATTTAATCATGTATTTTATCATGTACAAGATGCAAATTTGTAATGAAATACATGTCTTCTTTTGCAGAGGCATGAGCATGACCATCAGGATGCTATTGGTAAGAGGAAGCCTAAGACAAATTTTGTCGAAATGCGTACTTTTTGGCACCTTTATAGAAGCTTTGACCGCATGTGGATATTCTTCTTACTTGCTTTTCAGGTAGCTTCTGAGTACAGACTTTGTAATTTTTAATATTGAACATTTTTAGTATCTAGTAATCATGTTGAAGATTCTGATAGTATAGTTTTCTATTATTCTAATTTGTTTGCAGACAATGGTTATTGTTGCATGGAGTTCTTCTGGTTCAATTACCTCAATATTTGATCCGGATGTATTCGACACTGTTTTAAGCATATTCATTACTGCTGCTTTCCTCAATTTCATGGGAGGTACTTTAAATGAGCAATTTGTTAATTGAGTCTATATTATCTAAATTGATGATTGATTAATGTGATTATGCTTCAACATCTCTACTCTTTAAATTCTACCTAGGTTCTGATTGGCTGGTCATGTGTTTCTTGCTGGAGATGTAAGTAGCTGTGGGTATGGGATATAAGTCCAAACTGGAAAATGACTTCTATTGTGAGGTTTGGATTATCATGGTAGTGTGTATGTGGATGCATTCTCCCTCGATTTATCTCAATAATCCCTTATACAAGCTTTCCTTCCCTATATATGGTCACAGAAGCTCCTTATAATTCTAACATATCTATGATTTCCTTAAATTTTCTTCCCTGATTTTCTGTATATTTTTTTTGTTAAGCTTTCTCCACTTAACCCTAAGCACTTTCCCTGTATCCATGAGCAGGGGAGTGCTCGAAGGCTGATAATGCTCATTCGCAGAGTCATTTCTAAGTCAATGATAGGATCATAGTGATGGTTATTATCTGCGTTCTTTGTTTAATTGGCATTTTTCTTGATGAATTCTCGATAAATGATGGAAAATTATTGTGCAGAAAGTCTTTCCTTTTCACATGCTGGAGGGTTTTCTTCTAGGATTATTGTATGTTTAATGTCACTCCCTCCGTCCTCGAAAGAACGACCCATTTGGCCTAATTTTAGTCCCAAAAAGAATGACCCATTAGCATTAAAATACCCACCAATTTGCAACAATATTTGTGCAAAATTAGCTTCCCCATATAAAATTTTGTTTTTCCATGTACTTTTATTACTATCTCTCTCTACTTTTTTTATAAACCCCATGTAAATTTATCTTTCCAATGTACTTTTACTTCTTTTTATTTAATTTTATTAATACCCGCGAAATCAACCCAAATGGGTCATTTTTTGAGGGACGGAGGGAGTAATAATTAATGTTCTTTTCACTTCTTATGTGCAGCAACGCTGGATATAGTTCTCAGTTGGAAGGCTTGGGGGAGCTTGAAGTTTTCTCAAATACTGCGATATCTCTTGAAATTTGTTGTTGCAGCTATGTGGGCTATAGTGTTGCCTATAGGCTATACCAGCTATGTGCAGAATCCAGCAGGGCTCGTACACTTCCTCACAAGCTGGGCAGGAGATCTTAGGAGTCCTTTATTTTTCAAAGTTGCCATTGCCTTATACATGGCTCCTAACATTTTGGCTGCTTTGTTATTTTTCTTTCCACCAGTACGAAAATTTGTGGAAAGATCGAATTCACGTATCATTATTCTCATTATGTGGTGGGCTCAGGTAAGCATATTCTGCATCTTTCATTCTTGCATTGTTTATATTTTTTCTGCTAACCTCTTGCAAGCCACTGCTATTTTGCAACATTGTTGAACTTCATTTTTTTTGTTGGTACAGCCAAAATTGTATATCGGAAGAGGCATGCATGAAGACACATTTTCCCTTCTAAAGTAAGGACACTTTGTATTGATGTATTTAGGAGAGATTAAATGACTTCAAATTTTGTTGTTGATCATATCATGCTCCATGATTTCTCTAGTTATTTGTACAATCTATGTTGTGTTGTTAATTATTATGCTCTTGCTTGTGGTACACCATGGAAAATATCAACAATTTTCAGGTATATGCTGTTCTGGATCTTGCTGTTAATGTGCAAGCTGGCATTTAGTTACTATGTGGAGGTAAGTTTGGCTCAGTATGAATGTGCTATTGCATTTTTGCCAATAAAGCATTCTTGGTTGTTTAATGCATGAGGATTCATTGAGCTGTATAGTATTATTTCTCGATTTTCTAAATATTCTCTGCTATTCTGATGTGGAACTTTGTCCCTGTACTAAACTGCATTCCCTTGAATAAGTTTCTTTATCATTGATTATTCAATATCTCTTTACTATAAATATTTATTAACTAGTCTTGTGATCCATGCAACACATAAGCTGTCTCAGTAGAAGAAAGGGACAAAGACAGTGATAACGAGAGAGGGATGGGTAAGGGGAGGAGAAAAATTAACTTTAGCTAAGGGGATGAAATAGGAGAAGGAAATTAATGATCCTCACTACTCATTATATATAAAAAAAAAATTCAAAAATAGTGGGAGAATTTAGTAGGAGATACACATATGACTTTGGGTTTGTGTTTTTATATAATAGGTCTGAGATCTTAATTAAAACTTCTAAATTACATAATATAAAATCTTGGAATCTACTTCAGTCATGTTGCTAATAAATAATGAGTACAAAGAAATCGTGTCTCCTCTACCCTTGAGCCTCCCTCAATCATCCCTTCCAAAAAATTATAAAAATTACTTTCTTGCTATGATAATGTTGTAGGAAGTTTAGATACCCTGGAATTTGTTGAAGGATCGGAAAAAATTATACTTTTATTATGCTCAAATTTTCAAGTAAAGTTCAATTGAGTTCTAATACTTCATAATTGGTGCATAGATCTTGCCATTAGTTGGGCCAACAAAGCTAATATGGGGTATGAGAGTTGATAACTACGAATGGCATGAGTTCTTTCCTAATGGTAAGCTTTTTCTCGATTTTCGTGAATACCATGATTTCTTGTTTAGATGGTTCACTATAAACTGATTTCAATTATGTTTGTTGTACATGCAGCGACACACAATTTTGGTATTATCATTGCTATATGGGCTCCAGTTGTTCTTGTAAGTGGTTCAGAAGTAGATGAAATGTTATACTTTGTTACATTTTGGTAGTTTCTGTGGTAACTTAATATTATACCCTTATTTTCATGTTTAGGTCTATCTTATGGATGCACAAATATGGTATGCTATATTTTCTACTATTGTTGGTGGCATCCTTGGAGCTTTCAGTCACTTGGGCGAGGTTTGTGCTTTTATTGTCAATATTGTAATGCAACATTAAATAGATGTTTTGTCCATGCTCTATATTGGTGAATTTATCTTATGAAAGAGATAAATTAAAGCAGAAATTGCTGTAGTGAAACCTTCGCTTACTAAACTGGTGCCTAGATTTGAACCCATGAGCCCTCAGTTGAAGTACTCCCACCATTTTTTTAAGTTCCCTGGTTTGACTTTTCGCACTATATACATACTCAACTTTGACCAATGTTGCATAAGAAAAAAAAGTAGTCATATGGTCGCTTGTTAGAATCGTCTCATTGTTTAATTTTAAAAAAATTTACTTTTTATAATTTATACTCATTGACAATATAAGATATAATCAGTCAAAGTTCCACATTAGCATAAGTGCCTAGTCAAATTGGGGCATTTAAAATCTAAAAAACAAAAGGAAGTACCTCCATCCTCTGATAAGACCAGCACATGTCAGTTGTTGAGTTGTGATTTGGGTTGTTCTATAGTTCTACTTATTCTATAAAAAATTTGAAGTGAAAACCAAAAAGATGAAATATTTGCTAATTTGACAGTTTGTTCTCCTATATAGATACGCACTCTTGGGATGTTGCGCTCCAGATTTGAATCCGTGCCTATAGCTTTCAGGAAACGCCTTGTACCAAGAATGAAAAGGGAAACTCATCATAGCCCAGAGGTAGTTTCATTTTATCAATGATATCTTAGTTGTTTACTGATGTATAATATAATCCATGTTTAATATCTTTCATCGTTAATATATTTAAGCTAAAATACATATAATGTGTAGGAAGAAGATAGGGAGGCTCGGAAAAATGTTGCAAAATTCTCTCAAGTGTGGAATGAATTTATACATTATTTGCGGCTAGAAGATTTGATCAGCCACAGGTTGGTCATCTTGCTTGAGACCAGATAATTAGCTTAATATGTCGAATCAGCCTAATTTCTTTTCATTTTATTTATTCTTCTACTTAACTTTCTTTTCTACATAGGGAGAGAGATTTGCTTCTTGTACCATACACATCAAGTCAGGTTTCAGTTGTTCAATGGCCTCCTTTCCTTCTTGCTAGCAAGGTGTGTCCTTTCACTAACTATTTGTGACCTTATTATCATATATGTATTTGTTTCGACTTTGATGGTTGTATTGCTATCTTCTCTGTGATTCAAATGTTTAACAGATTCCTATAGCACTAGATATGGCGAAAGATTTTAAGAAAAAGGACGATTCTGAGTTATTCAACAAGATCAAGGATGACGACTACATGTATTCAGCTGTGATTGAATGCTATGAAACCCTTAGAGAAATTCTCTTTGAGCTTTTGGATGACCGAGAGGATAAACTGTAAGCTAGTTGTTTCTATTCTACCATTGGCCTGTGTTTTAACAGAGAGCAGCTTCCTATAGAGTTTTAAAATGTTACAAGAAGTGAACTTGTTTACTAATTCTTTTCATTTGTTTCAGAGCAATTAGACAAATATGTGAAAAAGTAGAAACTAGCATACAGGAGCACAAATTTTTAGCTGATTTTCGTATGGCTGGACTGCCTTTTCTTCATGCCAAGTTGGAGAGGTTTCTGAAATTACTGGTGAGATATTTCATTAAGTTCATCTTCGCCTGACTCTCCCTCCCCTTAGCAGTATTTATTTTAGCATTTCTGTCAATATTTTCATGATGAGTGCCCTGTGTGGAATGGCCCGACAAAAAACTGCTCTCTGCAATTGCAGTTGCAGGAGTTTGGTTGTGAACATCTGAGTCCTTGAGTTTTGTGCATTGAGTTGATGGTGATTTTTGATGTTGGTGATGTATTCTTTATGCTCTTTCTCACAAGATTGCATATTTTACAGCTGAGTGACAGTGATTATACGGATGAAGACCTATACCAGTCTCATATAATAAACGTTCTCCAGGATATTGTGGAGATCATTACACATGATGTCATTTACAATGACCTTGGGTAAGCTCTATGAAGTCCAGTCTCATATAATAAATGTTCTCCAGGATATCGTGGAGATCATTACACATGATGTCATTTACACTTGCCAATGCATAATTTCAACCATTAATGACTGTAATCGTCAACAAGTAAGGTTTAAAAAAAGTTACTATTTTGAATATACATTGAGATGAAACTAACGAGATCTCACATGACTGTATATCTAAGTGTAAATTACCAAAGATTGTGCAAAATTCAAAACGTTGCAACTAAATAAATAAAGAACTACGTTATTAGATCTAGCAGTCAGAAAAACTTTGGATCAATTGGTTAACCGGATTACTTATGTTGTTCTTGATGTTCTAGTATCTTTAAGAAGACTCAAGGCACTCAACAAGACCATCAAATCAATGATGATGGCAAAAGAGAGCAGAGGTTTGAAAGGATAAACATCTCACTCTTACGTAATAAATCGTGGAGGGAAAAGGTATTCACATCTTACTTTTTTAGTACCAGATATATTCAGATATAACCCTTTCTTCCATCCCCCCAGGTTGTTCGGCTACATGTTCTCTTGAGTGAGAAGGAGTCTGCAATAAATGTTCCTACAAATCTGGAAGCACGCCGACGAATGACATTTTTTACTAATTCATTATTCATGACCATGCCATCAGCTCCATATGTTCGCAATATGGTTTCCTTTAGGTGAGACCTTCAAAATAAGCTTGTAGTTCTTTCTGTACTTTAGTTGTTTGATTTTCACTGTTGTTTTTCTTCTTAAAATTTTAAGGCATGAGGGAGAGAATACTATACACTTCTTTCATTTTTACTTGCAATGTTTGGAGTTTCACGCTTGTCAATGCACATTATATATATATATATATATATATATATGTATATTTTATTATATGCTAGTAAAATTTATAAAAGACTTTTTAAAGGAGAGTGTGTAAGTAGTGTCAAATTCCAAATGTTATAATTATATATTTGCAAGTAAGAGTGACTATGTAGAAATAATAAAAGTGTGGATGTACACTGGGAATAAGATTATACAAAGTAGAACAATAACATTACATATATAAATTTTATATTTTACTTTTAAGCCCGTTCAATGCATGGACTTGTGTAATAGACCAGATTTCCGACTCCAAGATTAACACAAAGAACAGTAATTTAAGGCTAAAAGCTTGAGTAATTAATTGCTAATGATTTTGGAATACAAACTAAGAAGGATATCTTTAGCTTTAGGCTATAAATCTCATGAAGAACTCACTGAACTCACTTAATTCTGGATAATTCAACTACTAAGCTTACTACTACATTTATACTCGAACTTCTAAGGAACAATTAACCTTCATGTGCCTACTTAACCAAAAAAGCTAAACCAACCTAAGACCTTGCTACTGCTTGTTGCTTTTTCCCTAACTTCTCTTTAATGAGTTTTGCACTTAGTTCTTGGTGCTTGTTGACTCAAGTCACCCTTTTCTTTGCTTCTGCTGTCCCCTTCTCATCGGTTGCCGCTTCTTGACTGTTGACCTTCGTATGGTGATCCATCACAGCTTGAAAGTTACAAATCCAATATAAGTGTGATGTTGACCTCGAGAAGAAACTGAATCTTTTCTTCCTTAGATTCTTCTTTGTATCTGGGCCTAATTTGCTAATACTTCACCATAAGGCTTGTTTTTGGGTCAGAGTTTTTCTTTTCATCTTTTTAATTTTTTTTTAATTTTTTTATTTATTTTTTTTGCTGGTTGGAGTGGGGTCCTGTGGATGGACTTGTTGGTCTGTTGGACCTCTTCCATATAGCTTAATTTATACAGCCTGTGATAATCAGGCGATGATCCTAAACTGATTTCGATTGTTTCCTTTGTTTTGAAAGTAACGATCCTTATCCATTTTTCTACAAATCAATTAATCATTACTATTTCTTTTCACATATTATAGTGTTTTGACCCCTTATTACAAAGAAGATGTTCTCTATTCATGGGATGAACTTCACGAAGAAAATGAGGATGGAATTTCAACCTTATTCTATCTGCAGAAGATATATCCAGGTTAGTCATAATATTGTCTCCTCTGTGTTTCGTTTTCTATTGGCCTCTCTAACCTTGCCTTGGTTGGTGGAGCTGAGCCTACATATATTTGTTTTGATCCTTCTAACTGTGCCAATGTTGGGAGATTTTGTGGTGAACTCAGATCAAAGTTAATAAATAAGATAATTAATCTGCAGAATTAACAAGCAATTAAGGAAAAGAATTGTTTTCTTTGGTTTAAGAGAATTGCAGTAAAAGGGGTTACAACTGAGCATTCGAGAGGTTCAACTCTCTCCCAAGCAACCAAATAACAACTTCCTGAATGAAATCCTTCTTCATCTTCTCTCTTATTCTTCTTCTTCTTCTTTTTTTTTTTTTTTCTTTTTTTCCCCTCACTATAATGATCTCAACACACATAATTATTTCCTCACACCACTGCCACCTCTTTCTTCTAACAGAATACAGGGTTCTCCCCTATTTGCCCTTATCCCTATTTTCTGCATGTCAGCCTCGCAGTTGCTGCATGCAAGTTCTTGTCTTATTTTATGGTTATTGTTTCTGTTGTTTTATTCTTATATGTTCATATTCGGTCTTCTGTTCCTTCACTAAGTTCTGGCTTATGATTGTATTTCTATGTTGGGAACTTGGGATCACTCCAGATGAATGGAATAACTTCAGGGAAAGAGTAAATGATCCAAAACTCGGATATGCTAGCAAAGACACCAGGGAGTTGGTTCGTCATTGGGTATCTTATAGAGGGCAAACACTAGCTAGAACAGGTGTGCATAACATGCTGATTTTTATTTTTCTCTTTGTATGGGTTGTAGCTGTCTCTCAAGCTTATCTGTTTGTGTGCTCTAGTTAGAGGAATGATGTATTATCGTCTGGCTTTGGAGCTTCAGTGCTTCTTGGAATATGCTGAAGATACGGGTATATTACTCTTTAATTTTTCAATTAATTTTTGGAATTATTAGCACCGAGTATAATGTATAAATTATGACTCAAATCTTTTTTTTTTTACCTGACAGCTATCTTTACTGGCTACCGAACCATTGAGAAAAGTGATACACATAAGAAGATTTTTGAATATTCTCAATCTCTCACTGATTTGAAGTTCACTTATGTTGTCTCTTGTCAAGTCTATGGTAATCAGAAAAAATCTAGTGATGCTCGGGAACGAAGCTGTGCAAATAACATACTAAATCTCATGATTACGTAAGTTTCTTTTACAAGTGAATTGTAGTTTAAATAGGGTATGAACTCCCCACATGTTTTAGTAATGTAGTGAGTTTGTAGGTACCCATCTTTGCGTGTTGCTTACATAGATGAGAGAGAGGAGAAAGTTGCTGAAAACAACGGGAAGGTCTATTACTCTGTTCTGGTCAAAGGCGGTTTCAAGTTGGATGAGGTATGGAGATTTCAAAGATGTTTCTTTGTGTACTAATCAATCTTTTTAGGTTATCTTAGCCCTGTTTCTGCATTTATTATGGCAGAAACAGATTTATGTCACCGGAAGCAAAAGATAAACCTGCACAATATTTCACAAGTTCTTTTTGCAAAGCCATAAATTTCATTTTTATTTTAAGAATTATACAATATTTTACATCCTACTTGCTTGATTATTCGTACTTTTCTTTTAAAAAAGATGAAAACCCTTCTAGTATGTGGCCAGGGTTAAGATAATATTTCCTCATTGTATTTGTATCTTAAATCGCTAGTACAAGGTAATTAAATAGTATGATGATCCTGTCATTACCATGTTTGCTGAATCTTTATTTTAGCATTATTTGTATTGCACAATGCCTTATAGTTCTATGTTTTTATTTGAGCTCTTGGAGTTTTTGTATGCTTGGGAAAGAAATTAGGTATTCTTACAGAGTAACTCAGTTCCCTGAGGGCTCTATATATCTGGCAAGTGGACTGCACTATCTGGTTTGATCCCTGATAGAAATTTTAGTTTTCAAGTGTCCTCTATTTCTGATGCTTCAGTATTGTGTGATTCATTTCCTAGTTTGTGACATAATCGTAATTTGACTAAGTTACATGTGTTTTAGGAAATATATCGGATCAAGCTTCCTGGTCCGCCTACAGAAATCGGTGAAGGAAAGCCTGAGAACCAAAATCATGCCATTATTTTCACACGTGGAGAGGCCCTACAAACAATAGACATGAACCAGGTCAGTCATCATCCATTTATCAGTTGATGTCCCCTTTCTGACCTCTGATAAGGGGCTGAGAGAGGATGGCTGGGTAGGGGGCTTGGGTTTATAGAGTCAAAAGACCCCAAAGTTACTATATAATCTAATGACAAAGGAAGACTTTGAATATATGTTCAATTTTATATGTTATTTTTTGGTATTTGATTGGATGAATTGGAAGCAGGAATTGAAGGGATAGGTTGATGTGAGTGGGTACTGATAGCTACTAGAGTACAGAGGATGGTATAAAGTATAAGCATTGCATTGTATTGAACACAGGAGAATTGCTTATTATGATTAGATAGAATTATAAGCTTATTTTTTTGCTCTTTTAGTTTTCCTCCTTGACCTTATGTAATTAAAAGAGAGTTTTAACTACTTACACACTTGAAACTTGAAAGGATAAAAAAATGCTTTTCAGGAAACTGTCTATGTATCCTATGTGGAGTACAAAATTACTACTGTAACTTCTGCCAGAAGTAATTGTTACCTTAATCATGGTTGTTAGAATTGTGATTTGAATCTTAGAATCTTATTGTTATATGATCCAAAAATATGTGGCTGGTCTCAATTTTAAGTAGGACATTTTATTCCTATCAAGATAAATATTTGAATTGTTAATACAAATTTATGATCCAGTGATACAGTCCCTACAATGACTACTTTGAAATGATAAAATCATTCTTACATGTTATTCACCAATTATTTCTATTAATGATTGTGTTTGTTTTATAATTTTGTTCATCACAACTTTCAAATCTATGAGATTGGGTTAGAGGATAATTTTTTAGTACTTTAGAAATCAAGTACGAATTCCTTATAATTTTTTGAGCAAATATGTACTCCCTCCGTCCCATTATTTCGTGCCTATTTCTTAAAAAACACGGTAATTAAGGAGAATGGTGGAAGTAGTAGAATATTCTATTGGAAAGATAAAAAGTAGAAAATATTGTATGGGAAAGATTAAAAGTAGAGATTATTGTATGAAAAAAAAAAGAAAAAGCAAGTAATGATTTTTTGGGTATATGTGTATTTTGTATGGGAAAGATAAAAAGTAACTAATGATTATGGGTTATTTTTAGAAACAAGCACAAAATTTTGGGACACCCAAAATGGAATACAGGCACGAAATTATGGGACGGAGGGAGGAGAAGCTTACAATTTTATCACTCATTCCTACGATTTGATACTAAGCAGCCCTAACTTGGGGCCATTATATTACGGAATTAGCCTTACATGACAAGTAATTTTGGAAGGGATAGTAAATCCATCAATTTTTTTATTTTTGTGTTTTTTATATATATATATTTTTATGGATGGGATTTAGCTGTGCCTTTTCAATTTACTGTGTTAAAGTATGCTGATTTTTTATAAAAAATAAATAAATAACTATATTCTATATATAGGACACTGACAATGTTGTTGGATTTATTTTATATTTTAATATGTTTAAATACAAGACATGCCAAGACGGTAGTATTTTTTGGGTTTTCATACCTCTCTTTCTATATTTGTGTCACAGGATAATTATTTTGAAGAAGCTTTTAAAATGAGAAATGTTTTGGAAGAGTTTCAAAAGTCACGTCGTAAGCGTCGAAAACCTACAATATTGGGTTTGAGGGAGCATATTTTCACTGGAAGGTAGGCCTTTCATCCTTTCTCTACAACCATTTTATGCAAGAACATTAGATTATAACATGTTTGTGATTCTGTTTGTGTTCATATTTCAGTGTTTCATCTCTAGCGTGGTTCATGTCCAATCAGGAGACTAGCTTTGTTACCATTGGTCAGCGAGTCCTGGCCAACCCTCTGAGGTAGCACTGCTTTTGGTTGAACTCCTTGTGCCAAGTTTGAACTATGTTTTATATATAGCTTTTGGTTGAACTCCTTGTGCCAAGTTTGAACTATATATATATATATATATATACAGGTTCATTATTGTCTGATATGCAATCCTTTGGCTGATGCGTATTGGCTTTTTGATTTTTCCTAAGGCTTTGTTCTCCTCAACTTATTTTCACTTATTTAGATTTAATAAGTTTAGATAAGCACACTTCCACTAAGTGTAACTAGTGCCACGATCTTGACCATAACTGTGTTTATAACCCTGGTTCCCGCTTAAGATTAAGAGCCAATGAATCATTTTATATATGGGCTGAATGAGGTGATCATTCCCTCTTTAAAATCTGTTTAAATGAGATGTCCAGTGCCAATGGAAGCAATGAAATTAAGCTTTGCTTAACTTATATTTGATGAGCTGTAAAGGCCTTTAATATCAGTTGCCACCAAGACAACAATCGATGCTGTCTATGCAAGTTGATACAGGCTGGTACTCTGAAATTAAAATCACTAAAGTATCAACTGTGACCTCTTACATGACAATGCAAAAAAGTAGGCTCTCCGTCAATTGAATGTCTTCTTAGACTTTGTCACTTAAGAGTAATTGTAAGGAATTTAAATTTTGGTAACTTTTTTTTTTTAAAAATTGAGGGACATAGAGTTGGTGGGGGACATGACATGAGATATGAAGGGAGATAGCATGAGAGAGAAATATTCAGTGGAGGAGCCCACATCACCGAGATGGGTGGGGTAAACCGGTAAATTTTCCATGCAAGGCAAGATGACAGTTATTTATGCAATGACCAAAGCAATGTATAGGACAATTATTTGAGGATGGAGTACATATTTCAACATTTGACCTTTTAGGCAATCATGACCTCCCATGATTTAGTTCCCTGAGCTATAAAATGGACCTAATAAAAAATGGCTTAATAGATTAGTATGCTCGTCACTTTTGGTGAAGCTGCAGGCATTCAACACTTTTCAATTGCAGGGTCTTAACTGGAACAGTGTCTTGGTATTTCAAGGGTAAGGCTGAATACATTTAACCCTCCCCTGTGTTTGCAGCAGCCACATGTGAAGCACTTGGGCATTGGTTATTATTTTGATTCATATTTTGATTATGATTCAATATATCCTTAGCAGCCACATGAAAATAAGTGTGTTCAATCTGCAGCTTAGCAGCTCAAATTCTGAAAAAGTATACCATAGGTGGATGCTTATTCAGTTATGAGATTCTGTCACTGACAAATTTCTCTGTTGTGGTTTATTAAATAGTTACCATATCATTGCTTATGTCTCCAACCAAGACCAAACCTTTTGTACTTACCAATTTACTTGCTGGCTCATTTCTCATCAATCATCTGCAATAAAACATAGAAAACATCTTTATGGTTATATAACTTTCTTATGTTTGATTTTCTGTCATTTCTGAACAGGGTACGTTTCCATTATGGCCATCCTGATATATTTGACAGACTATTTCATATAACCAGGGGAGGAATTAGCAAAGCTTCAAAAATCATTAACCTGAGCGAAGATATATTCTCAGGTATGTCCTTTTACATCTCAAAAACAGAGATTTTATATCTGTAGCCTTTGCTAATTTCCTTTAATCTTCTTAGGTTATAATTCAACCTTACGTGGAGGTTTCATTACACACCATGAGTATATTCAGGTGGGAAAAGGCCGTGATGTTGGAATGAATCAAATATCCCTTTTTGAGGCTAAAGTTGCCAATGGCAATGGTGAGCAAACACTTAGCCGTGATGTTTATCGACTTGGCCGCCGATTTGACTTTTACAGGATGCTTTCATTCTACTACACCACAGTGGGCTTCTATTTTAGTAGCATGGTATGGATCCCTGACAATTATTGAAGTGATTAATGGTAACCAATTTGTAAACTTGTGATTTTCTTATCTGAAATTCATATGTTGAATAGTGAGATGGAACCAGTCAACATACTATGGGTATTGTTCTTCAAATGCACTAAGAAATATTAATATCAGGGAAGTCATTTTGAGAGAAAGTAGGTTAGTCTAACGCCAGTGAAGTTAAAATGAAATAATACACATCCTCAAAATCAATTGCTTGTCATTCTTCGCTCAAACTGTATTTTACCCTGATAATGGGCATTTAGCTAGACTTGACAATTTGACATGCTTGTACTTTTCTAGCAGTTTCTGTATTATCTTCCCATTTTGTTTAATTAGTGAAAATTGTTGGAGAAATTGATCTAGGCTGATGGAGTTTAGGAGGGACTTGTTTGATTTGCATTTGAAATTTATTGCTTCGGATATCTCTATAATATATCTCATCTTGTTCCACATTTCAGGTCACTGTTTTGACTGTATACATATTTTTGTATGGACGTCTGTACATGGTATTGAGTGGGCTAGAGAAATCGATCATAGATAGTGCAACAATAAATCAAACCAAGGCCCTTGAAGAGGCTCTAGCACCACAAAGTATGTTTCAAATTGGTGTACTTTTAGTACTTCCAATGATTATGGAAATTGGCTTGGAAAGAGGCTTTCGAACGGCAATAGGTGATTTTGTAATCATGCAACTTCAGCTGGCTTCTGTGTTCTTTACCTTCCAGTTAGGGACAAAAGCACATTACTATGGAAGAACTATCTTACATGGAGGTTCCAAGTATCGAGCGACAGGGCGTGGTTTTGTTGTTTTCCATGCAAAATTTGCAGACAATTATAGGCGGTATTCACGAAGTCACTTTGTGAAAGCTCTGGAACTTTTTATTCTTTTAATTGTTTATGAAGCCTATGGGGACTCATACCGCAGCTCAAATCTCTACCTTTTTGTTACGTGGTCCATGTGGTTTCTTGTCGTCTCTTGGCTGTTTGCTCCGTTCCTCTTTAATCCATCTGGATTTGACTGGCAAAAGACAGTTGATGACTGGACAGACTGGAAAAGGTGGATGGGAAATCGTGGTGGAATAGGTATACAGCCAGATAAAAGCTGGGAATCATGGTGGGATGGAGAACAAGAACACCTGAAGCATACAACTGTGAGGGGACGGTTCTTGGAAATAGTCCTCTCTCTCCGCTTCTTCCTTTACCAATACGGAATCGTGTACCATCTTGATATTGCTCATGGAAGCAGGAGTGTCTTGGTACTATTCTACCCCATGTATTTATTTTCGTTATACATTGCTGCAGGTTACATCTTGACTTTTATCTGTGATTTTATTCTGATAGGTCTATGCACTTTCTTGGGTCGTCATGGCTACTGTTCTTCTTGTCTTGAAGGTAACATAAGCAAGTTATCACCTACTTTCCCTCTTGTGTTATGCCTAGGACATAGTTTCAATTATTTAAAATTTTGCAACTTAAAGCTTAAACGCAATGATTGATAATTAAAAGGTGGTATTATGAGTTTTTTTCTTTAATAATTTCCTTGACCATGGGTTCTGAAGCAAATAACATTCAGTAAAGTACATGATTTCTTCTACAAGCAAATATTTTCTTTTTACATGTATTTCTATTTATTCTGCTTATGAATCTAAATATTATACCGCCTATAGTAATTTTTCAATGGCTATTGCTCTTGGCATCAGATGGTCTCGATGGGAAGGAGGAGATTTGGTACTGATTTTCAGCTAATGTTTAGAATTCTCAAAGGACTCCTGTTCCTTGGCTTTGTATCGGTTATGACTGTACTGTTTGTGGTCTGCAACCTCACCATAAAAGATCTCTTTGCTTCTATCCTTGCTTTCTTGCCCACCGGGTGGGCTATGCTTCTAGTAAGTTATACTATCCTTTTCTTGTCTGTTTCGTTTTCTTGTTCTTATGAATCTATGATACTATTGCATATGTACCACACATACACACTACCAAGAACAATGCAATCCCAAGACAGTGCTGAATTGAATTTCTAAGTGTGACAATCTAAATAACCTCTAGCTGATTGTACCAACTACTATGTCCTCATGCCATCCAGATTGTCTATGCAAGTATTAATGCATGAATTCACGATATCAATCCTTTTTTTAATTCATGCCCATTTGCTTTCTCAGTCCAAGCTTGTCTTTTGACTATGAGTTTCCTACCATAAGCCTAACAATTGTGCCTACTTGTTCTTGCCCTCTTCAAGATTGGGCAAACTTGCAGGGGTTTGTTGAAAGCTTTAAAGTTCTGGGAATCAATTAAGGAGCTCGGCAGAGCCTATGAATATGTGATGGGACTGATAATCTTTATGCCCATCGCTGTATTGTCGTGGTTTCCATTTGTTTCCGAGTTCCAAACAAGGTTGCTGTTCAACCAAGCTTTTAGTAGAGGTCTGCAGATTTCAATGATTATTGCAGGGCGGAAAGATCACTCCACCTCAGATATGCAAGGCTTAAGGGTGGTTGACTTGTAAATTGTAATGATTCTTGTAGTAAACAATTTTTATTTATACTATTGTAATTTCTCCCACTTTCTGTAATGTAGCCATTATTACTAGTTTATGCTCAACATCATCAGTAAGGTTTTGCTCCGCGTTCTCTAACACAGACACACAGTACTTACTAAGATTCATTTGTTCTGGAACCTCATCCATTCTGACCCTGCCCCCTGGTCCTTGGACTCACCAAAGCTCTAGTCTGCCAAATTTTACCTGATACAACTTACAACCAAATATCGTCTTCCCTTTCTTGTGTGAAGATCAAAGATCAAACGATGGGATACATGATGGAATAATGGTAAACATACAGGGCCAAACCTGGTGGAAAAACTTTTGTATACACCCGATTTACACTAATATTAGTGTACACCGAATAGTATAAGGGTATCTTATAACTAATTTTAGGATAAGTTTTTGCCTTTTTTTGGATAACTTTAAATATAATATAATTTTTATATAAATAGACAACAAGAAAAGTTTTATAAAGGTAATTTAATTACATTCAATCACTAATAATTGATTTTTAATCATTTAAAATGTGATTCTTTACTAACAAAGCGTAGTGATTTGTATTGGGTTACTTTTATGTAAATTAACTAACGGGTTTACCAGTAATTTATTTTTGGATTTTTGTAAAAAAAAAATTGAGTTTAAAATATCCATAAGTTCAACTTAAGTGACCTCAATTATGTTAACAACTCCTATAAAGACTCCAACAATCTAATATCAACATAAATCACCAAAGTAATAGGTACTTATTTTAAATTAATTACCTAAATATAGCTACTATATGTTTAAAATTAATTAGCATTTTGTTTCAAAAATAAAAATAATTAGCATTTGAGTGGGAAATCTTTTTATGAAATAACGCCACGTGTACAACATTATATATATATATATATATATATATATATATATATATATATATATATATATATATATATATCAGCGGTTGCTACTTTAGTATTAGTTATAGATAGATGGATGTATCATAATTATTGTACACCCGATTTTTTTAAAAGTTTGTAAACCTGGCTAGCCCAACACTACCGAACATGGCTATCAAAAACGTTGTATAACATACTCTTCAGGGAGATATCATTCAAAAATACATTGTGATCTATGTCTACAACTCTTAATTAATTGATTCTTGTAAATCCAAAATCAATATCAATCCGAGTACCATCAAAAGTGAGGATTTAAATCAAAATCTAATTTTTGTTGTAATGGAATTTGTCATCCATGGATCATTGTGAGCTAAATCAAACTTATTCATATTTATATAACGAACACAAGTGCATATAAATAAAGATATCTCATTATAATAGAATAAACTTTTACAGAAAAAATAATACTAGAACATTTTGTTAATGGTGTGATGGGGGTGGGTTAGGTTGGGATAGAGGAGGGAGGAGGTGATGGTTGTAGTCCAGTTTGCCATTTCTAACATTGTTTGTAAAATATATTATTACAAATATTATGATCAAAGTTGGTACAAAAGATATGATTAAAATAAATTTTAAGTAGTGCAAAACCCAAACTATTTCAACCAAAAAAGCATTTGCCATGACTAATATAAGCTTTTTCTAGTGAAAGATTGTGATAACAGCACTAGAGCATTCAAATCACTCGCATAGAAGATAAAAAAAATATACAACATGAATATCCTCTGATTTGACTCAATATGCATATTACGAAAACAATAATATCGCCTGGGTTGCTCTCACAACTATCAGAGACAACAAAAACCCTGCAAGTACAAAGATTTGAACAATTGTAGACCAGTAACTAAGGAGTAAGGATGCTATCCTTTTTGTTATCAGAAGTCATACAAGAGTGAAGTAAATTAATGCTTAGATATTTGAAAAATGAAGATCCAGACAAAGATGATGAAACAAAGTGGCAAAGTGTAGATACGGAGTTCTGCCCTATAACCATGCTATGTTCAATCCTTAGACAGGTTCATAGTATGAATTAGTACTATAATTGCAGTATGTTCACAACTTCATATATTGAAGCACAATCTGTGAACACGACACTTTCTCTAAGTCAATTTGGTCACAGCAACTTTGAACTGCTTAGCAGCCACTAGGGTGCATGAAGTGGCCTTGCTCTTTTTACCCTACTTAGTACAAGACTTTCTCTTCTTTGATATTCATTTCTGGACTTCGAATTTGATTTGAACCCTATCATGACTTACAGTACTGCTACATGTCTGGCTCCTGGTCCATGAGTTGCTGTAGAGCCATGGATATGATCTCTTTCAAGTTACCCATAAACAAACACTCCCTTTAACAGTCTTTCCATTATTTGTGAAAACCGGCCTGATAAAAGAATGTCGAATTGATGAGAAAAGCTGATGACACAGATACTTCATGCACTACGAACTTAATAATAAGCAGAAGATGGGCAAAAGAAATGGGCACAGCATGATACAGCTTCATACTTCAGTGCATTGAGAGAGAGAGAGAGGGAAAGAGGGGTACATAGGGATGGTAGAAGCCATCACCATGGTAATGTTTGAATGCTCACAACTCAACTTAATTTCACCTTACAGCCCTCTGTTTAAATCCTTAAACCAAAATGTATCTCATTAACGATGGATAAATTGGCTCCATAAGGTATATGCAAGCAAACGGTTGGTACTCTCTAGCCCAAATAAGGGTCTTACTGATTTGAGGATATACCTAAAAGTAGCAAATGTTTTTTTATGCTATATCTTAGAAGGGTAAGTTCCACTAACCTCTTGTGAGGGACATCTCCTCTGGAAACAAGCATGCATCTACCTAGTCGCCGTGATTTCCTTGACATGATTGCGTATCCTGCAAAGACGACAATATAACAGATTTAAGATAATCTATGAACAATGAAGCCTTGAAAGACAAAAGGGAACTATGAGATGAATTCAATAAGAATAAAAAGATACCTCCCTCTAGCACTACGAATGTTTTCAAGAATTTTCAACTGTTGCAATTTAGTGTTATTGGGTATCTCCTCAGTAACTAGTACCAAGGCCAAGTCAATTTCAATATTGTTTAATTGTTGGTCAAGATCCTCCAAAATATCAATAAAAGACGATGGACCTCTGAAGCTACTAAGCATGTTTGCTTCAGTTTCACTGCTGAGGCTTCCGGGAAATTCTTCTGCCTGACTATAAGACAAAATATCTCCTTCCCTGTCAATATCGAGACCAAGTTCTTGTTCTTCACTAAATTCAGATCTGTTGAAGGTGGTATGGCTGTCATTATCTGAAGTCGTCCTGTTATCTTGTGTCGGAGAAACAATATGTACAGGACTTCCAGCATCATCTCCATTAATATCAAGATCTGATGCAACATTTCTGACTAATTGCGCTTCTTTGATAGATATTGCCTAGAAAGCAATAAAACTGTCATTGGTATGGGAACACAGAGGGCTACATTTTTAAAACAAGAAACCAGAAAGAGCCATTAGGATCACGTGAGATAGCCCTAAACAGCTACTAAAGGAGAAAATCCTAAGCAGTAATAAAGTGAAGGAAAGTCATAGACAATTGCGACCAATCAGACAACTTTACTTTGCACTGCTTCTCAAAAGTTGGCCTGCCATAAATGCAGGTGATAAGAACTTTTCAGAACGCAAAAGCAGACATAGAGGCATTATTCCAAATTAGCTCTAGTGGATCCAAGAATATTTTACTTGACTAATGACTACTTAACCAACTTCAACCAAATCATCATAGACTGCAAGTAAGTTTAAAATATTAAGACACCAAAAGACAAACTACATAAGTCACTTGTTCTATTTCCGTACCTCATTAAGTTTTGCTGCAAGCTTGTCAAGCAATTCTACACGACCTTTTGACTTCTCTAAAGCTGACATAATTTTCTTCTTCTGGAAAAGAAGCTCCCTAGCATCATCATCTTTTCCCTTGCGTACACTTACAGCTGCTTGCCGGCATAAGTTTTCAGCTGCTTCTGACAGCCGTAGAAGCCTGAATCTTGCATTATTAGCTGAACAAACTCTAACAGATCCTTGTCACTGTATGTCATGTTTTGTTATTAACTAATTGCACTCCTAGATTCATAAATAACTATGCTGAAACATTTATCAAGAAAAAAAAAAGAGCATTTTCTTATTCTCATTTCATAAAAGCTTTCAACATTTTTTTGAACAGGTTTCGTTATGGCATAAATGCAGTCGTCATTGTTTCATTAAGCTAAAAGCAAAGCCAACATAAAAATGATAATGTTTGATAGAGATCTTTATACAGCAATAAACCCTTAGAATTGCAATACTTAATGGAAAAATGGTCACTATCCCATCAAAAGCATGTAGCATCTCCCACTGTATCCAAAAATTGAAACTAAGATGACATGAATGGATCCAAAACAATCCTTATTTATTCATTCTAGTTCAGTTCAGTTCTAATAAGTTCAGTCAGTTTAGCTCATTTCAGTCAATGAGAACATGCCCTTAATTTCCACTCCGTTAATAGTCATCAAAAGGATCTTGTTATCTCTTGTGCCTGAACATATCATCACTAAAGATTGTGTAAAGAATTTGCAGCAGCAAAGATCAAAAGCTCCTCACTCAACAGTCAACACCGCTGAATGTACTAGACCCACATAATGGGACTCGTGCTATTAAATTCATTTCTTCATTAAATTTCGTTACAATTTCATTCCTAATTCATCTCATTAAAATCAATTTCTAGCAAGTACCTTAGTCAAAGGAATTACCAGTACAAAGCTACAAATATGCCTAAAATCTCTACTAACTAACAAAATCCATCACAAAATTGTTAGCACACCAAAAGAGCTCTCCCAAATACACATTCATTAAAAGCTTAATAATCCATAATCAGCATCTCCCACAAAAATAGAAACTTAAAAAAAAAATACAGTAACAATTAATTATGACAATCATCAAATATAAGATGAAAACCACAAAATTAAGGGTTTAAAGCTGTAAGGAAAAAAAAAAAATGAAATCTCATAAATTGGGTTGCTAACATAGAAATCCAACAAACGATTAAGAGACATGAATCAACAAGAAATGAAAATTGTTCCAAAAACGAAATCGAAGAAGGTATAAATAAAATCGAAAAATGTAAAATTGAGGAAGAAAGGTGCGACCTTTTCTTCGAGTAATGTGAGCTTCGGAGTGAAGTTGATCGAGTTGAGAGCGTAAATGGTCAGTGTTGACGGGTGAAGCTGAGCACATTGCTATCATCATCGCTTCTCTCTCTCTCTAATCTCCTCCCTTCCTCACTTAGGCTTTTTTCAACTACGGATTACAGCCTATGTTTATCATTTACCTTTGATTCCTAGGATTTTCGTTTAATTCATCCGCTGGAGGTGGTGGTGTCGGTGGATAGATTAATGGAAGAAGATAGTGGTGTCGTTTATGATGAAGATGGTGGTAGCCTCAATGGTGGATATAAGTAGCGGCGTTTACAAATCATTTGCCTACATGTCCATGCGCGCAGCTAACTCATCACAATCTAACACCAACTACTGAGTTGGCGAAATAGATTGACAAACTAAAGCAATAAAAAAGATTAACTGGACATCCCCCGCAAAATTATATATATTTGTCATTTGATAAACAACCTGTTATATCAACTCAAGAAATAGGGACGAAGGAGTATATCACTATGGTCTAAGAATGCTCAACTTTGTACTTCTGTTTTTGTATCTTCTTACTTTTGGCTTTAAAATATTCTTTTTATCTTTATGTTTTTGCCTTATCCTTGTAACTAGTTAATAATTAGTGGGAAAAGGCAAAAATGTAAATTTACAAGATAAATAATAACCTATTACTTGGACTCGGGTACTCATGTCATGTCCAAAATGGACACGTGTCCAACCTAGCTATTTTTTAAAATTTTCTCATGATTTTGAACTAAAATGAAGTGTCCAAGTGTCCCTATGTCCGAATGTCGAGGGTCCAAAACGGGTACGTGAGGTGGAACTGTGAAATGAAGAGTCCGAGTAACATAGATAATAACACTCGAATATGATATTTTTCTTTTGCTCATACATTAAGATTTAGAAAAAAAAAAAAAAAAAAAATACACTACTGTTAGATCCAACTTGCAGCCAAGTGTATATAAGTTTTATTTAGCCAAAAGATTCAGCTTCTTGAATTCAGAGCACCCAATAATGTCCCCAGATGCTTCCAGAAAATGGTCATATTAGGATGATCATCGTCTAACTATGAAAATTATGACATTAGTAATCGTTGATCAAGTCTATGGTATTTAACATAATTGAATTTGATGTTTGGTTACTTGTACAGTCGTACGTGTTTTGTACTTGCACACTCAAAGGGGGCTGCAATTTTCAGAATAACTTTGGCAGCAGAATGAAGAGTCCAAGCAGGGAATGAGGAACCCTTGGCTGTATCCATTGAGGTTCAAACCAGAAATTTGATTGGACTCATTTCAATTCAAGAATATCCTCCTGTTTTAACCGAGCTTCAGGTTTATAAACCAGAGGTCACACGACATTTGTTTTAACCCAGCTGCATAGTGCATACCTATGTTTTACTAATCCAAAATGGTTTCTAATATTGCCTTCTATATTAAGCACTGAAAATCTTGCTTAGTATTGTACTCAGAAAACCAGAATAAACAGGAAGATTGGGTTGATAGCACATCAGAACAATGCCAAGTCGAAAACAAGGTATCAGAACAAAATAGAGCAATGACATGAACATGACAGCGGGCATTGGCATAGGCCTTCTATCAACAGGTACACTGCCTTTAAAAAAAATGTATTGCTATGCACGATTGCTGATTGCTCCCCCTCATCTCATACTAATCTATACATCAAGGAGATGCATGAAGATTAAGAATATTTAAAGATTAAGAGGAGATTGGGTGTAGGGATACAGAGGAAATAACACATGTCCTGTATCTGAACAAGCTCTGACAGTTTATTCTTCGACAAGAACAATTTGATCTGGTGACATTCATTCAGTTAAAAATCAGCTCAAAGAAATAGCATACAAATTCTGAAGGCATTGAACCAAACATGGGCTGGAGCTGGCTTGAACAACGGATAGTCACTCGCTAAATAGAAGTTTCCCCAATGGAAGACAGCTCCAGCAAGCAGCTGTTCAACAATGGAGAAGCAACTACTATGAAAACACAACCTTTAGCGAGGAATAAGTTTCTAGTTCTGCCATTCAACGAAAAAAGAGTACTGTGGACCTGTGGTTCTAATGTGGTACCTGTTCAAGTTGACTATCCACCAAATTCAAAGAAAGAAGATAAGAGTGGCTGTGAGTCATCTAGAGATAAGCTTAATGCCAAGAAATTCATAATACCTTAGTTGCATACTTGCATAAGTAGCTAACTAGCTAATAAGATGAACTTCAAAAGTCATGTACATTACCTGAATTAAACAAATTCAATATCCAGAAACTTCTTCCTTTAATTGAAATTACCTGGTAATAAACAACCACAGTACCACATAAACCACTCAGCAAGACCAAGCTAATTATAAATAGATACAAAGTGTGGAGTACTAGTTATACTACTCCTTCCATCCCATTCTTATCTTCAACTTATTAAACTTTCCCACACATATTAGAAAACTATTGAAGACTGGAGAGTAATAATACAGGAGATGCCTCACAAACGAAACCAGAAAAATAAACAAAAGATGATCAGGGTTTACAGTCTTGGTCAAAACCAAGCAAATAAAATCAATATAATACCCAAGAGTTTGAAAAAATAACAAATCAAAACTTGATAACCAAGAATCAGCTGACAAGTCTATCGACCCAGTATGTGTTTGCAAGGATGTATGATAAGTTGAAAGCTAAACTACCCAAGGAGGCTTTCATGTAAGTCAGCAAAGAAACTATTTCACCAATCATAATTTAAGTCAATTAAGCTTACCCATTCTCTTCATAGGTCAAGAAACATACTTGTAGGTTCTTACTTCTTAATATACGAATGAATGATTGAAAACACCAAGTATGATAAATATCAAGCACAGAAACTAGGAGAAGAAAGATGATTGGGACCTAAAGTTGGTTTTAAAATAGAAAATACTGAACATCTTACAAGCTTCATATCCACAATTACATTAAGTTCCTGTCCTCTTTCCTGACAATTAAAAATATACCTTTAAGCTATCTTCCTTTACCTGACAATCTCTCCGATGTCATACACTCACACATGTTACTCTTACAGCTAACTGAAAAACCTTAACTGACCTAAATATAGCAACGCAGCCTAATGGCCCTTTTACAACACCCCTCCTTGTTTTAATTCAAATTGGAAGCCTTTTTGGATTGCCTTTATAATGTGCTGATGAATGCACTTGAAAGAAACTTCAAACTATCATTTTCTAGACCTTTGACTAAGATGGATATTATCAAACTTCTTCTTAAACCTATATTACACCTGACAAAATATACAAATGGCCAGATATGGTAACCGAACTTCAAAGATTAAATTTCATCCTTTTGTAATCAATGCAATAGTGTGGGCCAAATCTATGTGAACTGGACGTCAGAAACCTAGACCAAGGATTAATACCGTGTGATAGTGGTGCTAAAATAGGTCCCTAATAACCAGTCAGCATTTCTTACAGCTTACAAGCATTTAACAGCCTCCAGCAGCCCCTGGTACTCCTTAAGTGGGTTATTTTATTTTAGCTTTTGTTTGGTTCAGGTGGGTTTATTAAAACTGCCATCTCAACTAGGGATAAACTCAACAAAATACAGTGATAAAGCCAAATCCCTAAATCCACTATGTGTGCAAACTCTAAAATTGAGAAAAAATATGGCAGGGATGTAGAATGTCTGTACAAATCCAAAGGTAAGGCAAGTCAAACATATACCTCAGCAACTCTGCCTAACAGTAAAGTTTCCCAACAGTACATCAACAATTAAGAAAACTAGTGGGGACTAGGGAGTAATAAAACAGGTGAAGTCTCACAAAACAAAACCAGGAAAATAAACAAATAAAATGATGATCAGGGCCAACAGTCTCAGTCAAAACCAAGCAAATATAATCAATATAATTCCAGAATTTTGAGGGAAAAAACAGTAACCAAGAACCAGCAAATAAGTTCAACAGCTTAGTATTGCAAGGATGTATGATAAGTTCAAAGCTTAACTTTCCAATGTGTCTTTCATGTAAGTTAGCAAAGGAACTATTTCACTAATCACCATTTTTAAGTTAATTAAGCCACCCAAATTCTACATAGGTTAAGAAACATAATACTCCATAGTAGGCTCTAACTTATAATATATATAAATGAATGAAAATACCTAGTACAATAACATTATAACATCAACTCATCAAGCAAAGAAACTTGGAGAAGAAAGGGGATTGAGACCTCAAATTGGCTTTGAATTAGAAGGCACTGAACAATTTTAAACTCCATATTCACAATTCCATTAAGCTCCTCGTCTCCATCTGATGATTAACAATAAACCTTTAAGATATCTTCCTTTACCTGACAATCACTTTGATGTCATACGTGTTACTCTCACAACTAACCGAAAAGCCTTTCAATTAGCCAACCTGATTATTGCAATGCAGCATCATATATGGCCCTTTCACAACACCCTTCCCCTGCTTTCAATTGAGCTAACAACAGCTACCTTCCTTCCACTTTCCAAATCCACACAATTACATCTCTTCAACCCCAACACAGAAGAAAAAACACACAATGTTACATCCACTGCCCAACTAAGCCTTGAATTCTTCTGTTAGATATGGACAGAAGTACCAGGTTTGCGAGATGAAATGGTCAATATACAATTTACTATTAATGATCCAGCTCTAAGTAATTTGCAATATAATGGATTTCCCATTTTCCTTTAAGAGAGGGGCAAAAGTAAATACAGTGATTCAGCATAACAATATTCTATAAACCCTTGAATCCTTAAATAGGGATATTCCCAACAAAATACAGTGATAAAGCCAAATCCCTGAATCTTAATAATGCACAATGAGTGCACTCTTAAATTGTAGAGAAATATGGCAAGGATGAAGATTGAAGAGTGTCCAAACTAGTTCCTAATGTACAACAAGTCAAACTAATAAAGCTACTCAGCAATTCAGCATAACAATAAAGATTACCAACATCACATAAACAATTACTCATCACTATTAGCAATTTATAAAGCTACCATTATCGGAACAACATGGCTTACTTTTCTATTGGCATCCATATACAAAGCATTAAATGTAAATAAAGGTCATTGGACAACCCAAGAAGGGTGAATGCATAATCAACTCATTCCAATTACATCCAAAAAAAAGCTGTGTTACATCATCTTATTAAACACTAAATATATCAACATTTAGACATAAACAACTCAGCACAAGCAAGTACAACATACCTCCTCTTTCAAAAACCCCCATAAAAACAATGCTAAGTGGCTCTTGGATCAGTTCCATGTTGCCAAACATAAACCATCTCATCCCAACCAGTACTAGCCAACAACCCTTCAACAAGAACACTCATATCAATCCCAACCGCGAATTCAGTATGCTGATCATACTTCCCAATCAAAGCATCTTCCACCATAAAATCCCACATACAAACAGTCATATCATATGAACAACTCATAACCATATTCCGGTGATGCGGCGAACACTTAACCTTCCTTACAGCATACCCATGACCAGCAAGAACAGCAATGGGAGTCCTGTAACTCCTCACATCCCAAACCCGAACCGTCTTATCAACAGACCCAGTAGCCAGCAAACACTCATCATACTTGTTCCAATCACAAGACAAAATCTCATGTTCATGACCAGGAATGATCATAGTAGAACCCGGCTCACGAACATCCCAAACCCGAACCGTGCAATCCCCAGAAGCCGAGGCGAAAACATCGGCATGCCGGGGATTCCAAGCAACGGAGTAAACACAGTAAGCATGTTCTTTAAAGGTGCGGACACTGGTAGGGCGATCGACGGTCCAAAGCTTGATTGTATCATCCCAAGAACCGGAGATGAAGGAATCACGGCGAGTTGGGTTCCAATCGACGGAATGAACTTCACGGGTGTGTTCAGGGAGAGAGCGAGAAGGGTTTTGTTGGGGGGGTAAAGAGAGGTCGTAGAGCTTGAGGGAGCCGTCGGCAACGGCGGCGACGAGGAGGTTGTCGTGGGATTCGGACCAGGCGACGTCGTAGATGCCGTCGGCGGTGTCGAAGAAGGTGAGTTCGGAGATAGGGGTGGGAGATGGGGTGGGGGAGAGGTCGAGGATGTGGAGGCGGCCATTGCCGAGGATGCCGAAGTTTTGGGAGGTTGCGACGGCTAAGCGGTGTTCGTAGAAGGGGCTGAATTTGACGGAGTAGCCATTGAAGGGGGTTTTGAACACCGGCATGATCGGAAGTTGGTGGTTGGGTCTTGTGGATGTGTGGGGTTAATGTTAATCTACTAAAATGGTTGGTTTTGGGGATTAGGATGGTCGTTATTCAACATGAATTGGGATTTACGGAGTTTAATCTAAACCGCACCAAATCGCAAATTAATTGTTTCTTATAGTTTAGTGGGTAGGTTTTATTTATGATTTAATATTACTTTTTTTTTTTTTTTTGAGAAATTAAGGAGCAAAACAAAAATATTGATAAAAATTTTGATAAGTTAGATCAAATTGTATCATTGGCATTATTGAGAAGCTAGTAATACAATTGTATCAAGTCCAAGGAAAATGAATTTGGATTGCTTAAACTTACAATATACTCCCTTCGTTTTTAAACACTTGCTCCACTTTTCTTTTTCAGCCGTTTTGAACACCGACATTGTAATACCCATATATTTTATGATTTAATAAAATTTGTCAAACTATAAAATCCTACTTTTTCGTTGGAATCTTTATATGATAAATTAGATTTTTATATGTATAAATAAATATTTAACTTTATTAAAAAAGGGGGGGGGGGGCTGCCGTTTTATTTTGATTACTATGTGCAAGTTTGATAATGCAAACCCATCTTTATCCTTATTCATATTTGTGTTATGCTTTGATTCATTTTATTCACCCATATTTTTGGAAAACATTTATTTTGCTAATACTTTCAATTTGGTTCACAAAGTTTGGTTGTGCAATCGAGTACTTTGATCTACAAAATAATCACATTAAATTTTAGAGATGTTTGTATTATATTTCGTATTATTGTTATTATGTGTGATATAATTTATTAATGGTACTCCTTGTATATATGATTAATTATTATGATATTGTATGATTTGATTTGAATATCATATTACTTTTGCTGTATATAATTGATTGTATTATTTCTAGGGTTTTAATGTTGTTGTTATAGGGGAGTATTGTTTTATCAAGGTTTTTGGGTTGTTAATGCAGAGTATTATTTTTGGGTGGAGATTTGATTAATTTTGGGTACTAGTATTAGTTCTATAAGAGTTGAGATATTTTATGAACCGAATATGTCATCATATATGAATTGGGAACCTGCGCCAATATTGAGATATTATTTATTATCATGTGAATGGTTATTTGATCGATATATGAGATCAAATGGTTGAGAATTATTGTTTTGTTCTTGTTCGGCGTTATATAATTTAGTACTTGGCTTGTTGGTAAGAGGGTAATAATCATGAGTTAAGAATGAGGTACAATCTTTATTTTTATTTATTTTTCTATGGTCCCCTCCAGTGGGAATTGACCCGTATGTGGTCTGGTTCAAGGTGTTTTCTGGTTATTGGGAGTATTCAAGTTTTTATACATGTTGATTTTATTCAAATTACCCATGTCCAAGGTTAGGTATAGAACAATGAGCATGGCACACTTATGGGATAGAGAGTTGAGTAAAGGTTTGTATCATTATTCGAGGTTTATTTGACAAAGGTTATTTTCAGAGTACAATGTGTAATGTAGTTTCGAACTACATTGTTTAATTGATATATAAATGTTAATTATTATATTATACTCTATATTATGATATGTGGTGATTACTCAGCTTTTGCTGACGTGTGTGTTTGTTTGTTTTGTTGCGCTACTTGTGTTTGCGGCCATGTCTTTTTCTTATGGTGGCCCTGCGACGATCTATTTTGGAATTTGTCCTTAATGGTGAGCAATCAAGTTTGTCTAAACAGGTTGATCAAGTGATCGTAGCTAAAGGAGCTCAAGTGATCGATTAGTATGCTATAACGATTTTATAAAGTTGTATAAATAGCTCACCTAGTTCATTGGGTTGTAATTATTGGGATTTTGTAAGCCTTAACACTTGACAGATTGTCGAGTATGGCGGTAATACCTCCGATTTAGGAGTATGCTTCCGCAATTTTATTAAAGGTTGTCTACTTTTCCTTTATTTATTGTTTATTATTAGTTATTAAATCGGGGGTGTTACATGATCGGAGTTGGTAGTTGGGTTCTTGTGGATGTGTGGGGTTAATATACCAAAATGGTTGGTTTTGGGGATTATGATGGTCGTTATTCAACTAATCATGAATTGTCGCAAACCAATTGTATATTATGGTTTAGCTGGTAGGTTTGGTTTATGATTCAATATTACGGTTTGTTCTGAGAATTTAAGGGGCAAAGCAGAAATATTGATAAGTTTCAATTTTGTTATTTGATGATAGTATATGTGTAGATTTCTGTTAAATCAAATTGTATCTGTTAAATATATAGTATATATTTGTACTTAGTCAATGGAGATAATTTCTCTAAGAATTATCCTCCTAGTTTATTGCTACTGTTACACGGTTTTGATGTAATTAGTTTCCTAGTTTGTATCCTAGGATAGTGCTAATCTCTTGTATATATTTACTGTCTATATGCATCAACCTGTTGGATACAGAGATCGGACTCATCCGGATTATGTTTGTCTCTATGGTCATTCAATTCCGATTCTTGGCTATGTTTGTCTCCGGCCAAGGGCAAGGAGCAACCTCCTTCATCTACGGATGCGGAAAAGGAATTGTGGGCAACCTTGGATGCCACGGTTCTTTCGTGGATTTATTCTACTATTTCTCGTGATTTGTTGAACACCATTATTGAGCCCGACTCTACGGCTATGGAAGCTTGGGATAGGTTGCGTGACATATTCCAAGATAATGAACATTCTCGTGCCGTGTCTTTGGAACAAGAATTATCCACCACTTCTTTGGAGGATTTCCCAAATGTTTCATCTTATTGTCAACGTCTCAAATCCCTTGCGGATCAATTGAAGAATGTTGGGGCTCCGGTGTCCGATAGTAGAATGGTTTTACAATTGGTTGGAGGTCTTACTGCCGTACCGAGGTGTGGGTACGTTGATTCGCCAAAGTAATCCTCTACCTCCTTTTTACAAAGCTCGATCAATGCTCACTTTAGAAGAAGTCGGGTTAGCAAAAGAAGCAGCCACTGAGTCGGCTATGGTGGCCGCGGGTGATGGTGGTCCAAGCCATGGAGATAAACAGGGTCACAATAAAGGCAAGCATAATTCTAGCCGGCGAAACAACACCGGTGGCCGGAAAAATACGGGTACAGGTGGTATCCGGAACTCCGCCGGCAACAAGGGTGGTGGTCGGGACCAGCAGTCCGGCAGCCACGGTGGACAGCAGCACCCGTCACAGTGGCAGCAACAGCAGCCTGCGGGATCAGCTCCATGGGGCTGGTACAATCAAGGCTGGCCCATCCCTCCTTGCTCCTACCCAACGCAAGGATGGGCCAGGCCCCAGCACCACAGCAGCCTCGTCAGGCCGGGTTACTTGGGCCCAGACCTAAGCAGGCCCATTTCCAGCAAGCAGGGGCGTCCAATCCACAGCAGGGGCAACTCGGTTCTTACACACCCACGGATATCGAGGCTGCTATGCACACGATTTCGCTTCAAATGCCCGACCCATCGTGGTACATGGATACCGGTGCTACCTCTCATATGACGTCTTCTACTGGTAAACTCTCGTCTTATTCTAATTTGAGCAATCATCCTAATAATACTATTATTGTCGGTAATGGTCATTCAATTCCGATTCTTGGCTATGGTCACACTAAATTGCCTTCCCCGTGTCAATCTTTGTCTCTTAAAAATGTCCTTCATGCTCCTAAACTGATTAAGAATCTAATTTCTGTTAGAAAATTTACTAAAGATAATTCCGTGTCAGTTGAGTTTGATCTTTTTGGGTTTTCTGTGAAGGAATTTCGGACGGGGAGGCCAATCATGAGATGTGATAGTCATGGCGATCTTTATCCATTTTCACCTTCTTACAACAATCAACCTTCCTCTTTTGCTGCTATTTCACCTCAAATATGGCATGACCGTTTTGGTTATCCGGGAGCACCTATTTTAGACTTGCTTAGGAAAAATAAAGGCATTGATTGTAATAAACACTCTAGTTCAAGTATTTGTAGCTCTTGTGTTTTTGGGAAACAAATTAAGTTGCCATTTATCTCTTCCTCTTCTAGCACTACTATGCCATTTGATATTTTACATAGTGATCTTTGGACATCTCCTGTTTTGAGTTTTGGGGGACATCGATATTATGTTTTGTTTCTTGATGATTTCTCAAAGTATTTATGGACTTTTCCGATAGGTAGAAAATCTGATGTTTATGACATTTTCTTAGCCTTTAAAGCCCATATTTCGACTCAATTTGAACGTAATATAAAAAATGTGCAATGTGATAATGGGGCGTGAATTTGATAACAATTCTTTTTGGGATTTTTGTACAAAACATGGCATGTCATTCCGTTTGTCTTGTCCTCATACTTCTTCTCAAAATGGGAAAGCCGAACGTAAATTCGGTCTATTAACAATGTCACTCGTACTCTCTTAGCTCATGCTTCTCTCCCTCCATCATTTTGGCATCATGCTCTTCAAATGGCGACATATGTTCTTAATGTCCTTCCTAGTAAATTGTTGCACAATAAGTCTCCTCTTGAAGTTCTTTATCAAAGACTTCCCTCTTATGATCATCTCCGGGTTTTTGGGTGTTTGTGTTTCCCTCTTATTCCATCCACCACTATTAATAAATTGCAACCAAGGTCAACTCCGTGTGTGTTTCTTGGGTACCCTACTAACCATCGTGGTTACAAATGTTATGATATGTCTTCTAGGAAAATCATTATTCGTCGTCATGTTTTGTTTGATGAAAATACATTTCCTTTTGCTAGTGTGCATACTCCAACTTCACACACGTATGACTTTCTTGATGATGGATTATCATCATATGTCATCCACCATTTGCAACAATCTACTGCTCCTGTTTCGGTCCAACCCAATTCTCCTACTGGGCTCATTCCACACACGGCCCAGCAGCAAAGCCCCAACTCTTCTCCTTCTCCACGCCATAACCAACCACCACCTGCCACCCAAACTGGCGTCCGGCAGCGTGGTGCTGCACCACCAACTGCCAGCCCCGCCAGGTTACTAGTAGACGCCGGTACGGGGGGTGCCTCGGTGGCTGGGGCAGGCGTGGCAGACCAGCCTGTGTCTCCTTCATCTCCATCTCCTTCTCTCTCTGGGCCTCTACTACACAAAGCCCAGTCTCTTCTTCACCTTCAGCCCAACCACAGCAGGCCCCATTCCCCACAAATTCTCAGCCCATTTCTTCTTCCCAGCCTAGAGTTATCACACGTAGTCAACATGGGATTTTTAAACCCAATCCGAAATATGCAAACTTGCATACTACGGTTGACCGGTCTCCTTTACCTCGAAATCCCATTGATGCACTTCGTGATCCGAATTGGAAAATGGCCATGGATGATGAATTCGATGCTCTTATTAAAAATAAGACGTGGGAGTTGGTACCCCGTCCACCTAATGTGAATGTTTTTCGTTCTATGTGGATTTTTACTCATAAAGTCAAGGCTAATGGTGATTTTGAGAGGCATAAAGCCCGTCTTGTAGGTGATGGTAAAACTCAATAGGTTGACATTGATTGTGGCGAGACATTTTGTAATCCCCCCGTATTTTTAAATATTTTATAAATGAAAATTTATTTTATTTATAATATTTATTTGTTATTTTTCATAATTTAATTTCAAAAGTTTTAAATTATTAATCTGGGTCGAAATTTATTTGAACAAATTATTTTATGCACCTTTATTTTTACTTAATCGACCCATTATTTTTATGAGGCTCAATCTTGTTATTTACCCTACAATTCTCTCCTATAAATACCCCATGAATCCCCAAAAAATTTCCCACACAAAAAGGTTAGTCTTATTTTCTTTCTCCATAGTTTTATTAATTTGTGTAATTATAATTATTGATTTATGGGTTTTGATTTTATTGTTTGAAATTAATTTAATTAGTATCAAATTGTATTTTGATGATTAAACTTTATAATTTTATATTTTATAAGTGTCATAATTTTCATATTTTGTAAATTTTATAACCTAGGGTTTATAATTATTGAAAATCATGATTTTAGGGTTTTTATGAACAATTGATTTAGGGTTTTTTATAGTAATGATGTTTTGAAATTTTGGTGATTATAAGTACTAATTAGTTTAACTTAATTCTAGATTGTTTTGAACACTTAAATTCGTGTTTTAATTTTAAGATTTTCGTTCATTAATATTAATCCCGTTTTAATCCCGATCAGGTTCTAAACTCATCCGATTTTGACAAAAAAGTAGTGTTTTCCATGTGGAAACAATGTTTTAAGAAAGACTCTGTAGTGAGAACCACCCTCTCGTGGCCAAATTCAGCCTCTAAATATGATTTTCGGGCATTTATTTATTTTAACGAAGTTTTTTTATACTTAAAATATTATCCTTGAGTTTGATTAATAAAATTAATTATGTTTAAAGTTAATTAAGCATAAATATTTTTTTTATTGAAGTTTTAAGTGCTGGAAATAGTTCCTAAGTACTACTTTTGATGTTTATAAAGAGGGTTTAATCACCCATTAAAAAGGAGATTATTAGAGGTTTTTAAATAATTTTAAGATTTTTATTAAACTTTAAACTTGTTGTAATTTCATGTATAAGAGTATATTTTAAGGTTTTTATGAAGAAAATTTAAAAAACTATATATAAGCCTTTAATTTTAACTAAAGGGAGGGTTTTAAAGTGTTGTTTGATTTGGATTTTGAAGGTTTTAAAGTAAGTTAGTGTTGCTGTAAATTTGATTGATTGGGTATTGATTGAGATGTTATTGTTTGGTTTAGGAGAGGAGTTTAATGAAGGTGATTTCTAGTTTTTAAGTGGCCAACCGAATTGTTTACACGAGGTACGCACATGTCTACTTCGTTGTAAGTAGTATCATGTTTAGGTACCAAAGAAAAGAACTTAGTTTCATGATTAGAGAACACTTGGATAAAAATTGTTTGGTTATACATTTAATTAATTCATGTGCTTATGTTTATGAGACATATTTTGGTGAATTGATTATGTTTGTATGGAATTATGGATGCAAACATGTTGAATCATATTAGATTAATTGTTTGTATGGAATGTTGATACAAGCATAATTTTTATTGGATTGGTTTGTTAACCACATTTGGATTATTAAAGGATTGGAATTGAATGGTTTAAGTGGAATGAATTTATTAATTATTCCACAATGTTGTTATTTATTGTATTTATTAATAAAGCATGACTTGTTAGTATGTTGAGTTAAAGTGGATTAAGCCGAAATGGCTAGGTGGGTTGACTATGTTCAACAATTTGGGTAATTTGGAAGTTTAATGAAATTAAAGGTCAATTTGTGATGTGATCACCATTGTCCTAAATAAGATTAAAAGTAAATTGATGTATGATTTTTATATATGGTCTGTTTGATTGAGTCGGCTATTAATTAAAATTGTAATCACGTAAAGTGAATCATGGATGAGAAATAAAACTCTAGAAAGCGTGCACTTCTAGAGTATTGACAATTATGGGTTGGGGTACACGGTGGTAGCCCGTGGCTTTCCGAGGCTTGTTTGATCAACATGTCCTCTTCTCTTTTGGTATTTACATTTTTAGTGTCACTGAAGTGTTATCTACAGATCATGCACACTTGGATTCATCCATAATTTCCGATTTTGTGAAGTCTTTTGTGCAGAAAGATCCATGCTTGAAAGTTGAATTTATACAGGAACTCATATCCAAGCATTTCCAGTTCGACGTTACTTATCGAAGAGCATGGTATGCTAGGGAGAAAGCCATAGCTGAAGTATTTGGAGATTGGGAGAGTTCTTATGGCCGACTTCCGCACTTCATGGAAGCACTCAAACAGTCAAACCCGGGAACCGTTGTTGTATGGAAACACAAAGATTTGGTAGACGGTGTTTATTACAGCAACATGGAAGTGTTTGAACGAGTATTTTGGGCCTTCGGCCCTTGTGTTGAAGGTTTTAAACATTGTATGTCTGTCATCTGTATCGATGGGACATATTTGTACGGGAAATTTAAAGGAACATTGTTGGTTGCTACAAGTGTGGATGCAAACTTCCAAGTATTTCCGCTTGCATTTGCGTTAGTCGAAGGGGAAAACATTTCCAACTGGTCTTGGTTTCTGGGCTGCATTCGGGTTCATGTCACTCAACGGGATGGCCTCTGTGTTATATCAGAGAGGTCGACCCAGCGCTTGTTACTGCGCTTGTGGAGAGATGGAGGCAGGAGACGCACTCCTTCCATCAACCTGTTGGGGAGGTGACCGTGACGTTGTGAGATGTGGCGATACTCACACGGCTTCCCATTCATGGGAGTCCGGTGTCTGGATCTGCGTTGGCCGATCCCCCCGGTTATGTAGCTCAGGTTCTCGGGGTTCAGCCAGGACCAGACGATATCAGGGGCGGCGGATTGAGGACCGGCTGGATACGCGACACTTTTCGTGTGTTGCTTGATGGTGCTGATGAGGCCACTATTGCGAGACATGCTCGAGCGTACCTTTTTCTGCTCATCTCGGGTGTGTTGTTCGGTGGCAAGAGTGGCAGCCATTTACAGATCATTTACTTGCAGCTGGTAGACCACGACTGGGAGCATATTCGTGGCTACAGCTGGGGCAGTGCTTGTCTGGCGATGTTGTATCGCCATCTGTGTAGAGCATCCCGCCGGGGTTCTCGTGAGATCAGCGAACCGTTATTTTTGCTTCAGGTAACCTACCTATCTGTTAACAATTTAATTCGGAAAGTTCTCACTTAGTTTACAATTAACCTAGTTTTGTGTGTTTGATGTCCAGTATTGGTCTTGGGAGCACATCCATGTAGGCAGGCCAGGTAGGCCTGCTATACATCGTCAGGGGCAGCAGGATCAGGACCAGCAGTATGAGCGGTACATTCCTCCACCACGGCCTTCCGCTGACGAGGCGTACGCTTGCAGATGGGCGGTCCCCAAGCTGACATATGCGCATGCGGCGAGGGGCCTGCCGTACTACCGAGACGCCCTTGATCGACTGACCGAGGATCAGGTGAAATCTTTAATTTGTTTATGAAATTGTTATTTATTATATATACTCTTAACATATTTAATATGCACTAACCTGTTTATTATGTTACTTTTTATGTGTTATCGTAGATGACATGGGACCCGTATGAAGCTGATTTAGTTGCTGCCATGCCTCCACATCTGCTAGATCATCAGGCGCAGTGGCGTTCTAGGGTCCCCCTGATCTGTTTTGAGGTCGTCGAGGGTCACCTACCATATTGAGTCATGCGACAGTTTGGACTACGACAGACTGTCCCCCAGCAGTGTGACACTAGTGCCCGGCTGCACCGCATTGACCGTCGGGGAAAGAGCGACAGGAACTGGCGGACAGAACATGCCCAGTACATTGACTTGTGGCATCGACGGTTGGAGTTCGTCGTCACTGGTGACCCCATCCACGGCGTTATGGATCCATACGATCCATACATGGAGTGGTACATGCGGATTACACGGCGTTTCATCAACCCCAGCTACACACCGCCATCCGCACATTACCATCCATCCTTTGACGTGATCAGGGGATATGTAAGTGTATTTGATGAACTTATTTTTATCAATTTTAAATTTGTATATCATTCAACTAACAAATCCTTAATTACTGCAGGCGTTGGATATGACGGCGATGGTTGACGCACTGTCGGACGTCCTTCCAGGCATACCTGAGCCGCCCAGAGCACAGGTCGAGCGGGTGTGAGATATGGGCATGGCTACCTTGCAGAGATATGGTCACGCCTATCTCGTCCACCCCCGGGACGATCATGGCGGCCACTCTAGTCACTCACAGTTCGAGGCTGGCCAGAGTAGCTGTGGGGGTGATCCTTCGTCATTCACGGGCGCAGAGGAGTACGACATTCGCAGTTCCGCGCCCCTACGTCATCCTGATGACCCATCTTCCAGCCAGCTGACTCCGCTAGTACGCCCGAACCCATTTACCGCGGTCCGTCACTACAGCCGTCGTCAAAGGCCGAGAGTGGACATACAGGATAGAGAGCCGTTACACCAAATTGATGAGTCAGAATAGGATAGAATTATCTGATTTATTTGATGTAATGACCTTCTCTAGTTTGTTGTACATAACACTTACATTACATTATTATTTGAATAATTATTTGAATGAATTTATGTCTTGTTTGAATTTCAAATTCCTTATTTGTCCACGTTTGACTCATTTCGTTCAAAATAAATTGTGGATGTGGAGGTGGTGGATGTGGAGGAGGATGGGTGGTGGATGTGGAGGAGGAGGGTGGTGGAGGTGTTGGAGGATGTGGAGGAGGAGGGTGATGGTGGTGGTGGATGTGGAGGAGGAGGGTGGTGGTGGTGGTGGTGGATGTGGAGGAGGAGGGTGGTGGTGGTGGTGGTGGTGGATGTGGAGGAGGAGGGTGATGGTGTTGGTGGATGTGGAGGAGGAGGGTGGTGGAGGATGTGGAGGAGGAGGGTGGTGGTGTTGGTGGATGTGGAGAGGGTGGTGGATGTGGAAGGGGGCTGCACTGGCTGCTGTTGGGGGCCTGCTGTTGCTGCCTTCAGCCAGCAGATAAAACGCTGACTGAGGCAGTGTTTTATGCTTAGGTGTAAAACGCTGACTCAGTCAGCCTTTTTCTCTGTTATGGATACAAGAAAAACGCTGACTGAGTCAGCGTTTTACTGTATTTCCAATTTTTTTTTTTTAAATTTGTATTTCACATAATACGAAATTTTATAAAAAAAATAATAACCAAAGGTAAAACGCTGACCGAGGCAGCGTTTTATGTCAGAAGCTCAGTTTCGTAAATAGTTTGGCCACGCGTCTAGATTGGTAAATTGTTTGCCAATTAAGCTTACTTTCGTAAAAAATCCTTATTAGTTCATCAATCGTCATTTGAATAATTTTGTAAAATACTAAGGGGCCTTTTGGTTGGGGGTAATCAGGAAAGGGAATGGGAATCAACTGGCCCGATTCCCTTTGTTGATGTTTGTTTACCACTTTCTTTCATTCCCTTTCCTCTCTTCATTACTCCAAATCCCTCTAAGTTCATTCCCCACCCCCCTAGACTTTTCCATTCCATTCCCTAGCCACCACCACACCACCACATCACCACCTTCCTACCTCCACACACCACCGAGAAACCCAATCGCCGCACCACCCATTGCTCCGCCGCCTCTCCGACGACGTTCGCTACGTCTTCGACGACCTTCGCCGCGTCTCCCCTTCCCCGTAAAACTCTCTTCTCCTCACGCAAACACTAACCCAGCCCCTAGAAATCCCTCCCTCTCCCCGCAAAACCGCCGTCCGACCCTCCCCCACCCTCGAAACCCTAGCGCAGTGCTGCGCGTGTGCGGTGGAGGTCGGCGAATGTGCGGCGGAGGGCGGCGAAGGTGCGGCTGGTGGTTTGGTGGACGGATGGTGGCTATAAAAGGTGGAAAGTGAATGAATTAGGTGGTTGTGTGGTGGTTGTGGGGTGGTTGTGTGGTGGTGGGTTGATGGGATTGTTTCCCTTTGTTTCTAAAACAAACAACATAGAGAATATTGGGTATTTTCATTCCATTCACTTCCATTCCCTTTGTTCATTCCATTCCGTTTACCCCGGGTGAACCAAACGGCCACTAAGTCTAAACTTAGAGGAAAGAAAAAAATGATTGTAAATTTGCTCTTTTTTCCCCCCTCCTCTGACACCTTTACTCGCGTCGTATTGATACTTTGTATACTTCGTATGTTAAATTAATCAATATAAATTTCGAGCTTTTTTTTAACATTATTAATTAAATGGCGTTAAGTTTCACAGTAAATTTCTGGTGAATACCATAAAAATCAATTATAACATATAAAATTAGTAAATTAAAATCTAGATGTAAGCCCTCTTCATTTCAACTTGTAAAAAATGTTAATGGATCAATTCAACTAAAAGCTTGAGGCATAGGAAAACCCATGAGCTTTGTTTCACGTTGACTCTACAAATCTCTGATACTTAAACATTTAGTTAAGTTGGTCCTCTAACAAATAATACTGCGTAGTAACGGTCCTCTAACAAATAATACTGCGTAGTAACAATGTAAAAATCAATTTTCAACAGTCCCTAGTATCAGTATGTACATGGTATAAAATTCAGTTTTAAATTTTTAATCAGCATAACTTATTTCAAACAATAAAATTGATTCAGTTTTAATCTTTCAATAACAACAATGTCAGTTGAATATAAATTTAGTGTAGTGAAAACAAAATTGTTTACACTTAAGCCTTGTGGCCCAATCGTCGGCATCAAAATGTGGTTGTTGGATGAATGTAATACACATTTGGAAGAACTATCTTATTCCAAAATAAACTAGTTATTAACCAAAATTGTTTCAAAACTTTATTGTATAAATTTATTGATTTAGACTATAGATGCATACTGTCAAGTACTTGTTACTATAAATGCATGCTTATTAAATTCATGATCGTCATTGATTATTTTGTTCATTGGTTTGGGATAGCAATGCTCATCTGGCAAATTGGCAATGCAATGTCGAGTAAGAGATCTAATGAATGTATACAACTGTGGTAGTACGACATTATTAATTGGAGTAATTGTTGCATATATGGAATCCAAGGTTTGGGTCGGGTTCTTTCCTAGTAAGCACTAAAGGTGTTAATTCGGGTGTTCAAGTTGGGTTCGATGAGGTTAGATTGGGTCGTGTCTATTATTCAATTTGAGTCATGAAAAATTATTTATTGTATCTACACTATTCAAAATCTTAATCGATTAATTAATAATTTATTAATTATGGAGTAGTAAGTCATATAATTAGCCTTGCACTTATTCATACTAGCTATTAGGGGTGAGCATGGTCTGGTTTGGTGCGGTTTGAGTCCAAACCAAAACAAAATTAAAACCAAACCAAACCATATTAGTATTGAAACCAAACCGTAATAATACGGTTTGGTGCGGTTTAGTTTGCGCTTTATAATGAGACGACAACTTTTCCTGAAAATTGTCAAATAATTCTTAATAAATTTATACTCCCTCCGTTTCATAATAATGAGCTCAAAGGGATTAAGTTGTACTGCAAAGTTATAATATGACTATTAACTAATCAAGTGCTAACACGGTATCACTTATAAAAGTAGTTTTCTTTTGATTTTTTTATGTTTTGTTTGTTTTTATATTTATTTTTTTTAGCTATTTTATAATATATAATAATTATTTTTAATTTATTTAAAAATTATATTATTATTAAAATACGATTTACTGGTTTACGATTTGATTCTTAGTTTTTTAAAACCAAACCAAACCATAAACCGTATTTACAAAAAAAAATTGAAACCAAACCGTATTTTTACAAACCGTAAACCAAACCAAATCGCTATAATACGATTTGGTCTATCTGGTTTGGTTATGGTCCAGACCAAATTGTGTACAACCCTACTAGTGGATGTACATAAAATGCGGGTTTATATAACTTGTGAATATAGAGTGCTAACTATTAGCAAAGTTTTCACTTGTATGAACTTATTTGATCTACTAAATAAATCTAAATTTTTTTTTTTTTTAATTTGAACTTATCTTATTGAAACTTATTAACCCTTACTTAAATTTAATTTTTAGAAAGGCCATGAACAAGAACTAACACAAGTCATAATAAGAAATAGTGAGGTAAGATACTAAGATGTGTAGGTAGTAAAAGAAATTCTCCCTAAAAGAAATTTGTCAATAACTTGAATGAACTAACTTGAATTCTCCCTAAAAGAAATTTGTCAATAACCAAACAAAGTAAAATTAAGTTAACATTTTAAAACACTCCAAAATTAAACAAAGATTCGGATGAAGTATATATATGAAGTACTCCGTATGTTTCATGTCCTAAACTCCTAATCAACCACAAAGGCATCACAAACTACAAACGAGAAATGTTTCAAAAAAAAAAAAAAGTAGCGTAAAACTATATGTAGCTCTTAGGGCTGCATATAAACATTAAATTTACTCTTGAAATTTATATGGAATATAAAATTAGAATTTCAGAACAAAAATACACGTAAATTAGTGTAATTGTATACTTCGAGAAAGCATTATGTAAGTAGTATTATTGCATTTATATTAATTACATACATAAATTTACACACTCTGCATGTGTTGTGGTTGAATGTGCAGGTCTTCTCTGCTGTATATTCGAAGCACATTTATTATGTAATTGAATTTAATTTTGGTGGGAAGTTGGTGCATATAAATGTTGATCGTTGATGCTCAGAATTCAAACATGTCATTTGAAATAAATAGAGATGGTTCCTATCTCATTTATGGGAATTTAATGCTATTAACCATGATTTTGCTTGGTTTCTTTCATAACATTTGCATGATCTAGCTAGCTTGTCACAATGTTTCCCTTTGTTTGATTGTTTGTCTTTTTTGGAGTTAGTATATACATTTTTTTTGTCTTTGCACTCTATTAAGGTTAAGTTATTATCTAGTGTAACTAAATCCGGCAAAAGTGACTTTGTGGAATGTGTTAAAAATTATGGATCAAGACCTAAATTTGACTTTAACTGAAGTTGATCGAGGTAAAACTAAATTAAACTTGAACATAATCATGAATTGATTGATTATCATATCATAATTATCTAATCGATAAATGACCTAAACATGACCCAAACTAAATTGACCCAAAATAAATCTAATCAAAATAAATCGAGTAAGAGATAGGCCATATGCATAGCAACAATTGTATTGTTTATATTAACTCAAAAGAAATTATCGTTTTGTCTCCTTTTTAACCAATGCCTGCATCACCTTAAGTTATGGTAATTCAAATGCTACATTATAATTAATTTCTTAAGTAAATAATCTTGAAGGAGATTGGACATGATTTGAAGAAATGAATGACATGTTTTGAGAGCAAAGCAATTAATTTGAAGGCTAAAAGTTAAAGTGTGAAATTAATCTTAGCTTGCAATGTTCGTTTGACAAAAGAAAATACTAGTAATTAAAAATATCTATACTTCTCACTAGGAGTAGGACAATTTTCAATCCTTAATTTTTCCATGCTCAATCTTAGCTTAATTACTAATTTATTTACATATAGAATGTTCCTTTTAAAAAAAATTAAAATAATATTTGAGTTCAAAAAGAGGGGTTACAAATTTCTGATTTGCAATACTAATCCCTAATGTTTCCATGCTTCATTCTAATAATTACTCTAAATATTCGAAAATGATGATCACATATAGAATATTAAATGTACGAAGTATGTATGTATTTCATTATATTAAATTACTATTATAACTTAGTATAACTTCAAACTTTTTAAAATTCTATTAATTCAAAATGATTGTAATACAATTTTGTAATTAAGTTTGTTGATGTTGAAACTAAACAATAAAATTAATAAACATCAATATTGTAGAAATAAAGAACAAATAAAAATGCCAAAAAAACAACAATTTCATCGAAGCATCAAACTCATCATAGATTCATAGTGCTAATAACGTTACACCAAGTCTTTTGATTAATCGATCTCAAAACAACAAAACAACACATGCTTACATACCACTCATTAAAACTATGACAATTAACATAATGATGATATATATTTAACTAGTAATTAATTAATAATAAAGTATGTCATCGGACCATTTGATTAATTATATAGAACACAAACACATGCATGCAACAATAATTTAATCAAGGTTTAGACGTGGTAGTTGTAGTAGTAGTAGTAGTAGGCTTGAGCTTCTTCTCATTGGCAAGCTTGAAGAGCTTGGCTTGAGCGGCGGCGACCTTATCGGAGGCGAGGGAAGCAAGGAAGGAGTCCTTGACTTGCTTGGTGGAGAGGGCGAAGTTTTTCGATGCCATTGAGTTGAGGAAGGAGGCAGTGCCCTCCCTGTAAAGGGAACCATACCCATCATTTCTAGGGTTGTTTAGCATTTCTTGTAGACTTGTTGCTGAGCTTAGTCCTGGTAATGTTGTCACACCAAATACTCCACCTACTGTTGCCCACCATCCTAGTACCCCAAATACCAACCCTGGGTGACTTCCCCAGTAACTGCATCATCGTCACATTTTTCGTTATTAACAAGTAGTATTACATTGATATTTAAGTATTTACAAAGTATGTATGTTACATACTAATAATATAATAGTAATAATAATGTTTGTGATATATGTTCACCTACAATAATCAATCAACTATGTAATTAATTACAATAATAAGTTTCTTTGTTTTATAACTCTAGCTTAGCTTGCTTATTAAGTGTGAGCCGTGCGTGCGTGCGTACGTGTCTCCATTATGTTACATGTATTAATGTACGACTACCACTATTTATTGTCTGCTATATAATTATGTGTGCAAACATATCTATATGTAACTAATAAATCTACGTGGTATGATATCTTTATAATATACACAGATACACCGCAATGAATTTAAAATGTACATTAACTAGCTCTTCGTATTATATTTAAGACATTAATTGATAAACCATCACAACTTTCCTCATTAATATGCAATAAAATTAAAAAGGGATTATATTATACAAAAATGTTAAAATTAAGGTCAATTAAGTTAAGGGGGACTTACGTGCATGGGAAGGGTGGTGTGGTAGGATCAAAAGGCATAGGAGGAGTGTTTGGATCAGGAAGATAAGGTGGCGTCGGAACGATTGGCGTTACTGGAGGCGACGGCACCAAAGGAGAGCTAGGAGTTGTTGGAGGATAATACCCTCCACTTCCACTACCACCACTTCTAGGAGGTGTAGTTGGCACCAAAGGCGAAGGCGGTGTGACTATGACGGGTGTTGGTGTCCTTGGAGTAGTTGGGGTTGGAGGGTAGTATCCTCCGCTACCACCGCTTGTAGGCGGTGGTGACGGACATGCGCACCCGCCTCCGCTAGGAGGGTTAGAGGGTGTGTGTCTAGGTGGATGGTGTGATCCTCCACTTCCTCCTTTGCTTGGAGGTGTTATTGGTGTTGTCGGTGTTGGTGATGGGTAGTAGCCACCGCTTCCGCCACTGCCGCTGCCACCGTGTGATGGTGGTGTACGGCAGTTGCTTTGACTGACGGAGGGTGATCCATGGGATTTGTGATTGTGGGATGATCCATGGTGGCTAGGGTTGCTATGAACACCTACATATGTTCAAATAATAATAATGTTACGTAATCAATTACACATTTACAGGTACATAATAGTTACTCGCTTTTATTTCTAAAATTTCTTTCTGTTTTGATTTTTTTTTTGTGATAGAAATTGACAATGACCATCTATCCAAACAAAAAATACTTGTAAATCGACATAAAAGGATTGATGGAGTACATATTAATCATACTGAATTATGTGTACTTTTTAATTATACGAGTACATCTTATTTTCAAATTAAATTATTTCCATAATCTTAACCAAAGCATGCATGTATCTTATGGGGTAATTCTTAAGCTAGATTTATGTATAGAAAATAGAAATGGCTTTGTTACAAAAAGCTAACCAACATATATATTGCTTCATTTTAAAGGGACATTCTAGAAAGAAGTTTATTGCAAACCTTTTTAAAATTAAGGATAGTTTAATAAATATTGTGAGGAATCCTACCAAAACGTAGCACAATAATCAAGTCATTCAACTTTTTTGGACCTAGTGAAAAATGAAAGTCAAAACCCTTCTATTTTATTTTATTTTTGGCTAATTCCATTTTCAACTGAGGCCCAATGTTTAGACTAATCGTTTAGAAAAGTGTTCAAAATAAAGCACACTCTCTTTGTCCGGAATTTAATTATCTCATTAACAACATACAGGGATGAAATTAACTAATAATTTCAGACGATGTTATTATTTATTTGTGCAATAATAATAAATCAAAACGAGAACTTATAATTGCAAACCACTGGATGTATGTTATATATCAACCTCTAATTAGTATTACCTATATTATAAAGTAAAATCATGCATATTCCTTAAAAACACTTGAATTAAAACTATTCATCTCTATCAAACATACATAAAACCTAGTATAGTAAAGACATACATACACATGAACTAAAATAATTCATTAGATAGATATAGAAATTAAATTAAAAAGATATAGAAAATGAGGTACCTGAAGAAGGGGTTGTTGGCACATGTGGGTCATTAGGAGTGTAGTAATTCTTTTCATTTCCAAAATTATTATTAATAATACTTGAATAAACAGGAATTACTAGGTTATTAGTGGAAACCATTAGCAAAACCACCCACAAAATCATACTTTTTTCTTTGATCCTCCCCATTTAATTAATTTTTTTTTTCTATCCCAAAAAAAAATCAAAAAAAAAAAGAGAGGAGATTTTTGAGAAGTATAGAAGATGTGAAATGAATGAAAGAAGTGAGAAAAGGTGGAAGATTTTAAAGAAAAAAAGGAGGGGATGTGCATTGAGCTAGCTAGGGTTATGGTGAATAAATACAAGCAGGTAGAAGAGTGAGTATTATGTATGGTTAGTTGATGTGTTGCAGGTTGCATTTATACAGGGGCGGAGCTAGAAGGGGACGAGTGGGGACACTTGTCCCCCCATTTTCAAAAAAAAAAAATTAAAAAAAAAAAATTTAAAAAAAAAAAAAAATAAAAAAAAATAAAAAAATAAAATGCAATTACAAGTTGCGTTGCGACATTTTCCAGCCAGCCAAAGCCAAACCCTAAGTTTTTCAATTTTCAATTTCTCTCTCTTCGATTCGCCCAATCGCCCTCGCCTTCGTCCGTTCGCCACTTCGCCGGCAGTCTTCGTCCGTTCGCCGGCAGTTCGCACTTCGCAGCAGTGACGAGGTTCAACAGCCGCCCTTGAGCCTTCGTCCTTCCTCCTTCGTGACTTCGTGTGTTCGTGACTTCGTCTGTTCGCCTAGCCGTCTGTTCGTCCACCGTTCGCCGGCAGTTCGCAGCAGTGACGAGGTTCAACAGCCGCCCTTCAGCCCTTGAGCCTTCGTCCTTCGTGAATCGTGACTTCGTGTCTTCGTGACAGCGTGACAGCGTGACTTCGATCGACACTTCGTCTGTTCGTCATATGCATTTCAATGGAGGTATGAATCAATGAATGTATGATTAATTGAATAATTGATTACTTGTTTTGTTGTTTAAATGTTTAATTGTTTAAATTTACAGTAAATCTGAAATTCTGAATTTCATATTTTTATTACTTGTTTAAATGTTTAATTGTTTATATTTTTATTGTGAATTTGTCATTTGTGGCCTTGTCACTCCAGCTGAAATTTAATTTTGATTTCTGGGTTAATCTCCTTTTTATTCTATTTAGCTTCATATTGCCGGCTTTTTTATAATCCAATTCAGTCTTAATCAGGAATTTCAATAATTTGAAGGTAACCCTTCTTGTCTTTGCTAATTTGGTTTCTGGGTTTGTTTTAGAATTCTCTGTTGGTTTCTGTATTGATTGATCTGATTAATGTTGGGTTTAAAGATTGGTTTTTTTTTTTCTTCTTAATATGAACAATATGGGTGATTATTAATGTGTTTGGTTTGATTAAGAGTTTCAATGATGGTTATTTTTTGTGGGTTTTAGTCATTGATGATGAGCATTCAATTACTGTGTTTATATTATATAAGTTGATTGTCTTAGTTTTGGTTTAAAATGTTGCTGATTTTACTTGTTTGATTAATTTTTCTGAGTATTAAAATGAAGAAAGTATATTTGATTTCTTAGCTATAATAATATGATGAGATTGAAATAAGGGGTAGAAATGGAGAGCTGCTTATGGAATCGTGGGTATTGATTATTGAATAATTTGAATTGATAAATGATTATTGATTTATATTTGTTTGATTGTTTCCCCTGTTAGAGTTTTTGGTTGTTTTTGTGAAATGTGAATTTAAATTTATTAATTATTGTAAATTATTGAAATGTGTAGTTGAATTAGAAATTTAAAATCTTAGCCTCTTAGGTTTTGTTATTATGTAATGATGTGGATTGTGGTCTTGTGGAAATTGATATATAATTTTCGATTTAATTAGGAAATGTCAAACGATTCACCAAATTCAAACAAATCAAAGGCAACTAAACAACCCGATCTTCGACAATTCTTGTTTAAAAGAACGAAACTCAATGAAAATGAGTCCAATGAAAATGAGTCCAATAACTCACCTTCATTTAGCTCCCCTCAAAGTCAAGAAAATAGTATGGAAATGGGTGGTTCAAGTAATAGTAATGTACCAAATCAAAGGCAACTAAACAACCCGATCTTCGACAATTTTTGTTTTTTTTTTTTTGTTAAGCTTTTCGTAAGTTAAGCATTTTGTCCCCCCAAGTTGAAAATCCTGGCTCCGCCACTGCATTTATATTTCTCATTTATTGATATCTCTTTAATTTCATCTTTGCATGCATTTTGTACAATATTTATCAACCTTCAATTTATGTATATTTCTTAGATACAATATTGAAATAATATAATTATGATGATAACCTCGTCTATGTGATAGGTATGGGTGTCCAATTATCTCAAGGGTTTAACATTTATCACTCCCGCTCTCTGTATCAATTTAACTTTCACGTCATACGTATTTGTGCATGTTTTACACTATAGCATTAAATCTTTAATTATGTGATGAAAAAAATATTTGTTATAATATACAGATATGAAGTTTTAAATGACATTAGTATCTACCTATGATTTATCTATACGGGATTGAACGTATATATTTTATGACTCTAAGTAAATGTACTTTATTTGTTTGAAAGCATTATCAAAAAAATGATGATGATTTTGTCGATAAATTGTTATATTAAGGAAATCCGATAATTTTACGAGTTCATTAATTTAAAACACTACTACTTATATATTTCACTAAAGTTACAAATCACCACCAATATCAACGTGCATCACTTATTTATTTGGTTGTGAAAATAAAAACACTTATTTATTTATGTATTTTTTTTAAAAAAATTGTAATCAATTTGTGTGTATCTTAAACACTAAAGTATAGAAAAAAAGGGGTCATGCATATGCCGTGCATGGTGCAGCTGTGTAGCGCTAAAACTCCCGCAGCCCTAAATTAATTGCCACAAAAAGCTTTTGCAAAGTTTACAAGACATACTTTTGACATCAAACATCTAAAGTGCATATTGCTTGATGAAAACTTTATAAAAAATTAATATGTTAAAAATGAACAATTGTAATGAATTCAATAAGAAAACACGTCATTATTTTATCATCTTTATAAATTCATGAGAATTATGTGATAAAAAAATTATCGAACTTGACGAGAAGAACCTATAACACTAATCTAGAGATGAAGGGAGTATCGACATGTAAAACGACTAAAAAAGAATGGAGCCCTTTATATAAAAAAAAATGAAATAGATTGGAAATATGAATACCCTTGTTACCCATTTTGATACTCTGTATTTATTATTTCCAAATTTACTATAGTTGCAGGTTGTTGCATATGTTAAGAAAGAACGAAAAATAAGTGAGTACTTGTATACTTGTAGCTCTTGGCATTTATTTTTGGTGCTTTAAATTAGGGCTCAGAGAATATGTGTACAGCTTTCATGTTGACTCTTCTTTGGACTTTTGTCAAACTATTTAATGTTACATACTGGGATTACAGTATGGTCTTCAGATCTCATCAACTTTACATATGCTTATGATTTTATTTATTTATTTTTTATTTTTGAAATTAGCCACTAGATCAATACGATTTACAAATGGCTGGCCGGCTTTTTTTTAGACGTGTCGTATACAGACTAATTAAGGTATTTATGTTAATCATTCGGCTAAGACCTCATTGTGACATTAATTAGCATTATATCGTGAATAACTTGTGACATTTTATTCTTTTGTAAAAATGTTACTTAACATTTTTTTAGGAAGGTGATCAATTGGGAATTATTATATATTTTGGCAAATTTTTATATGTGGCTGGCCACATGGTGTGGCCAGTCCGTTTTATATAACGGACTCCGTTATACCAAACGGGTCCGTTATTTTAAATTTAAAAAAAACGTGTCTTTCTTTTTTTTCATTTTATTACATCAAAAGGTTCTTCTTTCCCAAAGTTTTCTCATTTTCTCTGTTTCCATTTTCTCTCTCCTCAAATTCTCTCTCCTCTAAATTGTTCTTTTCTTTGATAATGACTAAAATCAAGATAATCTTCCCCAAGATAAAGAAAGGATCGACATATACGCTGAACTCTCCTACTTCTGATATAAATCAAACCCTAATTTTAGTAATTTTTCGATTTTCTTGTCATCTATGCTCTGCAATTTGAACAAGCATCGTGAGATTGTTTTTGGTGGTGTGAAAGAATTTTCGTGAGTAGAAATCAAGCAATTTATGAAGAATTACTAGAGAATGAAAAGACAAAAAAGGCAGATGAAATGGAGGCTACTAATGAGCTTGGTAATGTAGAAGATGCAACAATAGTTACTTTATTCATTATGTAGGGATTACTTTTAATTTAAAAATTACAGTGCACTTGTTTTAGGGGTTACTCGTTGAATTGGTTTTATAGGGAGGGGTTACTTGTTGATTTTACAATGGTTATTTGTAAAGTTTTAGGGGGTTAATACTTGTTACTCGTAGTTTATTAGGAGTTACTTGTTAGTTTTACAGAATTTGTTGTTAAATTAGAGGGGTTATTTGTTAATTTTTGTTAAGTTTCAGGTGTTACTTGTTAGTTTTATAGGGGTTACTTGTTATTTTTATGAGTTACTTGTTTATTTTAGTGGTTACTTGTTAGTTTAACAGGGGTTACTTGTTAATTTTTGTTAGGGTTACTTGTTTATTTTCGGGGTTACTTGTTAATTTTTGTTAGGGTTACTTGTTTATTTTAGGGGTTACTTGTTAGTTTAACAAGGGTTACTTGTTAATTTTTGTTAGGGTTACTTGTTTATTTTAGGGGTTACTTGTTAATTTTTGTTAGGGTTACTTGTTTATTTTAGGGGTTACTTGTTAATTTTTGTTAGGGTTACTTGTTAATTTTATAGGGGTTACTTGTTAATTTTTGTTAGGGTTACTTGTTTATTTTAGGGGTTACTTGTTAATTTTTGTTAGGGTTACTTGTTTATTTTAGGGGTTACTTGTTAGTTTAACAGGAGTTACTTGTTAATTTTATAGGGGTTACTTGTTAATTTTTGTTAGGGTTACTTGTTTATTTTAGGGGTTACTTGTTAATTTTTGTTATGGTTACTTGTTTACTTTAGGGGTTACTTTTTAGTTTAACAGGGGTTACTTGTTAATTATTGTTAGGGTTACTTGTTTATTTTAGGGGTTACTTGTTAGTTTAACATGGGTTACTTGTTAATTTTACAGGGGTTAGTTATTAGTTTTACAGGGGTTACATGTTAATTTTACAGGGGTTACTTGTTAATTTCTTCAATTTTATTGTATCTGTTTTCATCTTCCAGATCCAATACCTGATTACTGGTTTGGATTTCAAGATTCATCAAAGAATCTTCAATTTGTTCGATCTCTA